GTTGAGTTCAACCACTGCTAGAATGGAGTGTGGACGCTGAGTCGTAGATGGGATGTTATCTTTGATTTCTTCGAGTAACTGTAGCATTGCATGGCTGCTTAATAACCCTAACCTTAACCCTAACCCTAACGCGCATGATTTCATGTTCACTCAACTGAATAAATGGGATCAAAAATCTTTTCAGCTTGTCTCCTTTGTGCAATTTGCCATTTTCAGTTACCGCGACAGGCAGTCTGCACTTTCACTGCTTCATTGCTTACATACCGACGACCTATTTAGCAGACAGACACTGTTTAGTCTGCTTATTCTCAAGCTCTAGACCACAGGTGTGAAACTCAAGGCCGGATCCGGCCCGCCAGGGGGTCTAGTTCGGCCAGATGACTTTGCTACTGTGAGAATTACAGAAATACATTATTGTAAAAGGAGCTGCTATTCTTAATCAGTCCATTGGTCCAAAAAATCAGGTCGACCACGGGTGTAGTGACTTTCCTAGTCAACTGTAGTGTCCTTATTCACTTTTATATAGCAAGTTTGCAAGACCATTCTGAGTGACGACCGACCATGGTTTGGTTGATTACAAAGTAGGTCACGAGCCCATGCGTTAAATCCCCCCACTCCGGGACTGACCATCGTCTATGATTTTACTGGTTTGGCCCACTTGAGGTCAAAGTCGGCAGTAGACGGGCCCCTACCCGAAATGAGTTGGACACCCCTGCTCCAGACATACACTCACGTGTCATGATGCATCATAGCTGCAGGTGACTTGACACTGAATGGTGGAGAAAGAAATGTTTTACTTGTTCCGCTCCACAAAACCATCATGGTCTGGCAGTCCGCTTATCGGCCCTCCTGTCCTCCTCTTTCCAGATGTTTGCGGGTAAGTAAACAAGGGCGGTCAAAGAGTCAAGTTCAAAAATGCACACCAACGGTGAGGTTGGGCAGACATGTGTGAGTTCAAGGAGGATTATCAACTGTCACACACCGAGATAGAGCCTGCTTACAGAGGACCAAAACAAAATGCTCACCGGGCCGTGGAGGCGATGGAGGAGGACGTGCAGGAGGCAAACATATCATTTGGTTTATTCATTTGGCTTTTCCCCTAGATTGATTTGGACACTGTATCTTAATATGCCTATAATAATTAGATCAGTTACTTCTCTAAGCCAAGTCAATCATGTTTTTTGTATCACTCACTTTACAGCAGCAATATTTGAAATTGCCATCCCTATTTAGCTTTATTGTACACAGCTATCTCAGTGTAGCTGTTTCTCTTTTACCAGCACGATGAGAACTGATGTGTTGCTGGTCAATGATTTAACCACCCAAATGTGTTTATGAAACTTGGTGCTGCTGACAAGGCGCATGTGGATCCCACTGAATATCTGCAATCTGCAAAGGATAAGGAGTATGATGTCATTCATGTCAGTCGCTCCTGGAAGCCTCCAAGCTAGTTATAAAATATTTTATTTGAACTCCACCTTGACCATAAAGGGACATTACAAATCAAAAATTGTTATTTTTGTTCTTATCTGTAGCGGTATCAATCTAGATTGTTTCGGTGTGAGTGGGCTGGTTTTAAAGATATCGGTTGTGGACCGTCAAAAACTTTGGAAAACAGCAATTTGTCTTTGCAGGAAGCAAGAGCCGGATATTCAAGAAGACTTACAGACGTAGTTGTGAGCATTTTAACGCAGGAACTATTTTGTTTTTAGTGAAAGTATATTCCCCAAATGTATCAGCTGAGCTGTGACGTTAGCTTGGTGGAGGTGGGAAAGCTGACTATAACAAATACAGATACCTTCTGAACGGAGATACGGTCTGCGAGTGTAGATTGGTGCAAACAGAACCAGTATTCTAGTATTCACTATATGGCAGAAATATTTAAGGCAAATATATACACACTCTGCAACTCATACCAAAACCATCTACATTCATAAATAGGAAGGAAACAACAATACAAATGTATTATTTTGGAGTAGCATGCGTCGTTCAGATCAATCCATATTATATATATATAAACTATCGGCTTTGAGGTTTGAGAAGAAACTGCTGAGATAAGTGACATCATACTCATATCTTTGTGGTTACACATTTAAAGTAATCAGTTGGACCCAGATGCGCCTCGTCAGCAGCCACCAGTTTCATACACGCATGCCCGTGGTCCTTCGTTTTATAGGGACAGCGTACCGACCCATTAAAAGCACTGCACGCAATCTGGACAAACTGTTGATGGTCACCAAATTCTTCAAACACGAGGAGCAGAGACTTCAGAGCTACTGAATAACGTCAGCTTCGCCGCACTGCCAAACGTGTCCCGTCCCATTAGCCGCGAGACACACTAAGGTCCATCTTTTACAGTGTAGCCCAGATAAGAGAAACAAATCCTATCACTAGTTTCTTTATATAGCAAACAAACGATTCCAAATCATGTTAATCCCATACGGTTATACTTTATAGCAACATGGGTCATTAATGTTGCCAGGAGTGATTATGACTTGTCATTGGCACTGTGTGGATAACAATGAAGAGCAGATGAAGTGACTTATAAGCAAATAAAGACTTGAGTCACTAATGCTTAAGCACACATTGTGATATTAGTACAACACTAAAAGGTTAAACAAGTGGCATGTCTGCACACTGCATTAGCTGTATGGCATGTTGCCTGAATAAGCAGAGTTACGTTACGCGGAAAGACTTTCTGGAAAGACAGCAACAAATAATAAGTGCTGCAGAATTATCCCTCAGGGCAACGCCTAAAAGAGAAACTAAAACTTTAATCAGGTACGTTTGATACTGTGTGTCTCGCTCTGAGAATCCTCGTTATGTTGTCATAAGAACTACAGCTTTTCATGGACGTACAGTGAAGTCCTTTCAAAATGTTTCGTGGAATGTTTGAAAAACAAGAATTATCCTCAGTGGTGTTTTCTGAAGGTCAGACAGCACTACGAGTCACGCACACAATACATGCAATAGTTCCTTGTCGAAGCGGTCAGTTTAGATGCATTTCACATGACCAGTCCGATGCTCCCACGTGTGCAGATGAGATAAAGACCATAGGCAGGCCTTTGTGTATACGTGCATAAAGGGATTTGTGTTATTTCCTGTGGGTTTACAGGACAAACATTTAGTGTTTACATAAACAAAAGTAAATTGTTATTAGGGTAAATTTGTGCTGAGCGCCTTTTTGCTGAAACCCGGTATTTTGTACATCCACAAGACTTATTTAGCACACGATGAAGTGACTTTCAGGGTGAACAATATACTGCTGTAAATAAACAGTATTTATATATATTTATATTTATAAAACATACTCAGTTGCACGCACTCAGCTGCAGCTTTTGAGAGTGCAGCTGCTCAGTTACATAAAGCTCACACAAGCAGACACACCTACTGTATATATCACCATTTCCTCTGTGCCTCTCAGTGACTACAACGAGTCACCTAGGGTTATACAATGAAACTCTCAATACTTCCCGATGTGTCAAACGGCACGATAGTGCCTCTTGTATCCCGCGTCTGTCTAGAGACTTTTGGTTGGGCACCAATCTCTCGGCTATCGGTCTGGCAATGGACCCACCTTCGAAGGCGTGGGGCTTTATTTCTATACCCAGAGCCAAGACTTATTTTCCGTGCACTGCTCATCGCTTACAATTGGCAGAACGATGAGACACAAGGCAGGGCGTTATTTTAAACCAGTAAAAAAGCTAAATAACTGTAAGACGTAAGCCAGTGGATTCCCAGATTGCTTCTCGGCCTATTGGTTCTTCATCCTTTTCTCTCCACAGTGACAGTTTATATGTATTCAACCAAAGCCTGATCGAACCGGATTGCTCATTGCAACTTGGACTACGAAGGGCAGCCGGGTTCAAAATCTTGTTCCACTGTAATATGCATTTGAACGGGCCCTGCAGGGGCAGTGTGGGGATGTGACTGAGCCGGAGGGTCAGTAGGTTAGTTTTCAAGACAAACTGATAACTGCAATTATCTAAGCAGGTCTAACTGCTTACTAGAAGACACGCCTACTATATAATAAAACCCCAAACCAATCTCCAATGTTCTGATCGTCCCAATATGTCATTTCCCGCTGCAGAGGCGTTTGAGAAAATAGCTGTTTACAGATTTTACTGCCGGTACAATTTTATAGGTTGATGTGGAAACTTAACAAAAATAAATGGAACAAAGTTCCACATTGTTGTGTCGGTGCATGGTGATAAATGTTAAAACAAGAGGCTATCTATTGGAATCCCCCTGTAAATTAGTTGTACATATGCCAAGTCCAGTGATGATGATGCACGGTGGGAAGCACAGATAAAAGCATTCAAATCTCCAGCCTCGGATTGAACCCCTCCTACACTCTATAGAAGTGTCATACCACTTTTTAAATTGCCAATGAAAGTTTCCATTGAATATGGGTAAATCAGCAAGGAGGTCTCTGGTTAGATCCAGATGCTGCCTCAGGCTCCCTTTGGGTACCAGTTCTGGCCCTAACAGTGTTCAAATGTACGGCAGCCCAACACACACATGGTGATTTATAACATCTGCAGTTTGATTTAGTGCTGGGAGACAAGGTGTGACGGCACCTCTTTTTCCGAGCGGGGTCCCACGTTGGACTAAACCACTGGGCGATTGGACAGAAGTCTCCTCACACATGCTGAGTCCTCATTGAACCGTGGCCAAACAGGTATGTGGCGTTTTGTTGTAAAGCAGTCACATTGCTGTTACTCTCACTCCATCCCCCCTTCATGCCTCCCACTATCCATACAGAGAAAAAAAGAAAGCAGAAATGCTTTCAACATTTTTGCGCTTTTTCACCGTCTGTTTTTCCACTCACCACTCATCCCGGCCGCTCGCCGTCTGTCTTTGTCATTCACTCCTCCTCGGTGTAGCCTGACTTGCTCTACGATTTATCTTCCCCATGTCACTCCCACTCCTCTATGTCCAGCATTCTTTTATTATAGTGCCTGCTAAAAAAAGTATGCAGCAAAAAACAAAACACATAATGGGATCACACAATTATTTAATTATGAAATGAGGACAAAACATTACAGTTGATGGAAATTGCATTTTTGTTTAAGCATCCTTTAAATATGAGGTGTAAGAATATATTGACAGATCATGGCCTTATTGTGATCAATATACTCCGTTTGAGTGATTACAACATTATTACACATTATACAGATGAATTGCTGCTTGATAGTTGATTTTAGGTTCAGCGTTAGTACAGTGACACCATCTAGTGGATACACAGGTCATTTCTGCAATGCTTTCCTAAAGGATCCACATACAACATGCATAGGAAAATATCCCCAAATACAAAATACTACCATGTAAGTATCATAAATACAAATTCTCTAATATTTAATTATTATCTAAAATGGTATTATGCTAGTATTGTCTATTTTTGGATATAAGATTATATAAGATTATGATATTGTATTTAGTGCGGTCAAAAACTGATTTATTTTTCATAAATATATAACATTAACATAATATAATTTGCCATAATGTTATTTAAACTATTTTGCGATTTAGGTTGCATTTAATGATACATTTCTGATCCAAGTATTTTTTTACTGTTAAAAAAATGTCAGTCAACAAACTACTACGAGGAACTTTCATTTGATTTTGCCTCGGACAAAGAGATGGTGATAACAAGCACCAGACTCGCATTAGAAAACATTTTGTTTAACAGCAGCAGGATCTGACATCCAATTAATGATTAGATGATCTAATTCCTGGTTCTGGTTCTCTAGTGCCTCCGTTCTCTCCAGCGGGCTCAGCAACGCGGCCCGGGTCTCCAGCATGGTGGTGTTGCTGTTGGCTCCCAGTGGGGGCCGACGGAGCAGCAAGTAGGAGCGCTGCTCATTCAAAGGATGCAGCAAACCATAACAATAAGTTCTAGCTGATGGTGTCGTTCACATATAAAAAGGTATCAGTATTAGATTGGGACCTTTTCATAACCAGTTAAAGGTTCCTCATAGAAGTTTTCAGTATCTATTATGCAAAAACATATTTCATTATTGACATGTGTTTTTGATTGGCTGTTTTCATTGCGTATATCAACCATGTTTCAAATTCACCACAACGCACAGACTGCACTGTTGCACAAACAGTTAGATTTCAGAGTTGGAATATGACATGTGATCACTGAGGTTGGCCCCAAAGGCAAAAGAGCAGCGGACAGGCTAACCCGAGAGGTGACCGGGGGGAAAGGAAGCATTGTCCCAGTACCCTTCCCTGTGCACTGTAATCAGTTCTTTTCAATCAAGTCAATCAACAAACACTGGATGGAGGGTCACAAGTGTTACAGCGAAGTGCTAAACGAAAGAAACAATCCTAACTCAGCAAAAATGAGTCAATATTCTATTAAAAGAGAAAGGGAAGCGCATCGCTTGGCCGCACATTGAACCCTTTAAGACTTAATATTTTCCAGTCCCACAATGCACATCAAGCTCAGCCATACCTCAGAATTTACGCTCGCCTCCCGACTTACAGACAGATAATTCTAGCTAGCAGTCTACTGAGTCACTGGAGGCTTCTTGATCTCGTCTTCTGCCTCCACCTGTGTGTCTGGGTCGTTGACGTCTGCACCAGCGGACTCGCCCTCCTGCTTCTGCTCCCCCCACGTCTGCTTGAAGTGGGTGTTGAGTCGTTCCAGGATGTCGATGCAGTGGTTGATGAGGAGGGCCAGCCAGGCCAGGCCGAAGAAGATCCACGAGGCCATGAGGACACTGTACCACTGTGGGTATGTTTTGTCTGGATTGCTGTCTGGAAAGGAAAGACAGGGTCAATACAAAGCCGAGTATAGAGTGTCGCCCAATAAAACCCTTTAGAAAGTAAACAGCCAAGCCGCTCTGAATCACAATGTGGCGGCGATCCGTTGGCCGTACCTGCCACAAAGTCTCCAAAGCCGATGGTACTGAGGGTGATGAAGCAGTAGTAGATGGCCTGGGAGAAGGTCCAGCCCTCGTGCATTTGGAACACACTCATTGGCATGACAAAGAAGAGCAGCGCTCCAGACAGGTAAGACACCAGGTGGACGAAAAAGCGGGTACACCTCTGCCGAGAAAAGCATTCCTAAGAACAACTCCCAGTGTGACCCGAAACCGACTTCATCATTAGATTCGGTGATTAAAGACCTCCTCACCCTTCGCCCGGTCTTCCCCTCGAGGAAGTCAGAGATGTTCCTCTCGATGGCGAGCATGTACTTGCCCACCCTGTTGAGCACGACTAGGTTGAGAGGAATGCCAAACACCGCGTAGAACACGCAGAAGATCTGGCCAGTGGTGGTGCTGGGACTCATGTTCCCGTAACCTGCAGAGACTGACAGCTCTTAGTGATAATAACAATACATTTCATTTACATAGCGCTTTTCCAAATGCTTAAAGTCACTTTACATAAAACATAATAGTGTCTTGTGACATAGTGTCTTATCTGGCTCTGGTAGAAGGAGGAGAACTTTGTATTGGTCGGTAAGAGGCTCAAAGCCACAGCTCTTCTTTATCTTAAGGGGCATTAAGGGCTCAGGGACGAGCTTCTCCGGTGGCCAAGGAAGGATCTCACCTTCACAGACAAATTATTTGTGGTTTTGTTGATGACATTCAACACTATTATTATCTGCAATGTGCTTTTTTCTTATGGTTCAATTAGTCCTCATTCGGGGTTAGTTAGTGGTTAATAAAATCCAGAATATAGAATGAAAACTTGTTGTTAACCAGGGGAAAGACCTGATATTATCAAATTACAAGTGATTAGATTCACAGTCCTCTTGTTGTGGGGCCTGATTCACGAGGAGACGACTGACCTATAGTTGTGACCACCGTGGCAGCGAAAACAGCCGAGCTGGTGAACTTCCAGAAGCCGTCCGACGTGGAGTTTCTTTTCAAACTTAGGCCTGCTTTGGATGCTTCTTGAACAACCTAAAACAGATGATAAAAACTGGATCATAATAATCAAACTCAATTGAAAAGTGGGGCGCTTTTAGGTCAACGTAGCTGTGTGCCTGAGAGGACGGCGCTCAGTGTCGGGGAGAACACATGATGACACAGTCTGTCACATAACAGTCTTGAGTACGGGAAATAGGAGAAATACATATGTCTGATTTGGGCTTTCATACGTTTAGTTTGGCCTGTGTAAATGCAGATGTAATACATTTGAGTAATTTCATTTTTCTATTTTGAATTTTTTTTAATTTAACTTCCAATAATAAGTCCATCATAAACTGGATAGCCAAAATGAAGAGTTAGACTCCGAGACACAGTCTGGATTCGAATTGTCAAAAAAATGATCTCCTAACGTTTATTCCTTGACCTCTGTGGAAAACGTCACGGGGTCAAGGAAAGATGCTTCATGCTTCATGGAGGATTCATGAGGAGTTAGGAAAAGACAACCGCGGTGTTTAGGGGATCCAACTCCGCTTTCCCTGAGCTACGTAGTTCTGATGCGACGGTCTGCAGGCGAGAAACTACAATTTGTCTGAAGATGGACTACAAAGAAGCATCATAGATGCCGTCATGTGTTGTTACATTGTTAGAGTCATGCAGAAGACATAAACAACCAGGTTCAAAGTTCAAGGCTGTGATATAAATGAGTTATGCCGATTGATACGTCACTGTTTAAATATTGCCGTTGCAAGGAATTGTGGGACAGAATGATCTCCTTTCCTTTAAAGGATGGTCCAGTGGTTGTTATGCTAAAGGAGCTAAGTAAGGAAGCATTGAAGCTCCTTTTTATTATTTAAGAGGTTGGTTTCCCTGGTGTCCACTGGGGGCAGTGCGGCCGTTTTATCTGTTTGATGCAAAGCATCAAATCAAAGTTGTTGTTGGCCTGTCCCAGACGGAATAACAAAAACGACATCATCGTGCCTTATCAATATTTCAACAATTGTTTTGTCTTTGGGCGGCATTATATAAAAAAAGTAATTTGGTACTTTACACAAAAGTAAAATCTCAAGGCAACAGTCAATAGTCAATTTAATTGACTGACTATTTTGGTATAAATTCATTAACTTTGATGGATTACTTCATAATGCCAAACAGACGTATCTCTGGAATCGCTTTCTCTCATGACAGAATTTACAACGACATGCTGTTTGTGGTTCCCTTTACGAACTGCGGTGTAAAACAAGTCAGCGCTGGATCCAATGTTGGACGTGTGGCGGTGGCGGCCTGGAGAAGCTGCTATTTGCCTCTGCCTCATTATGGGCCTATATGTGACTACAAATTGCCCTTCACTGCTTGGAACTGATTTCACTGGCAGATTAGTTTGTTGCTCCTGCTGAATGGTCCCAATCCTACTGGTGTAGATTACAGTACTTCATATGTACTAAAGCAGAGGTCTTCAACAGGGGGTCCGCGAAATTTTTGGTTGATTTTGTTTTTTTCCACAAATTTAAATGTCTTCAGAATCAGAATTGTATTTAATGTCTTCTTTATTGTTACACATTAACATAAATCCAACATATTGTAGCGAATGGATAAATTAATGGAGAAGACATTATCTTTCAGTCCGCAAAACACACATCCAGCTTCCCACAGCAGCTCTCAAGCTGGGCACCGGTTCATTCACAGCACCTTTCATGCTGATACGACAGCAGAGGCACCAGCCAATCAGATCACGTTCATGCTCACGTAAAAGCGAAAAGCTCAAAAATAAAAGATGGCGGACAAAACTCTGTAGCATAGGGGGTCCCTGCTCCATCTCGCCATCAGTTTGGGGGTCCTTGGCCTGAAAAACGTTGAAGACCCCTGTACTAAAGAGTAAGAAAAGCGCTCGTCCTGGCCACTAGGGGAAAACCAACAGGGATACGGTACAAAACGGACAATTATATTTCCCGTATTTCATCATAATTTTAACGCCCCGTTCCTCACCGTAGCCACCTCCTCCAGGCCTTCTTGGGTCAAACAGGTGTAACTCGCGAGCAGCCTGTTCTTACTCAGCAGCAGGTCTGCGATGTCCTTCTGACCGAGATCACCCTCCAACTTCCAGAAAACCACCCCGCCGATCAGCACATAGGCCACATACACCAACCCGAGGATGAGGATGGAGGGAACCCGTGCCAAGTTGAATATTTCCTTTATCTTCATCTCGGCCCCCGTGGTAGAACTCGTTGGATCCAAGCAAGCTCAGGGTCTGGACCTCGGCAGCGAGGAGTAAGAACTCACCTACTTGGCTTCCTGTCTTTCCGTGCATTGCATGCAGGCAAATGAACCTCCACCCGCGCTACTGTCTCAACCTCTCCAATGGCCTGTCATGCAAATCTAGCGGGGTGAAATGAGAAATGAGACACCAGCACATGGGGGGGAGGGGAGGTCAAATTTAGGAGTTTCTTGACAAAATGAGTAAGGTCGTGAAGATCATCCATCCAAGACCTATCACAGTGGTTAGTTTGTCTGGGCACTGAACTAGCTTGGGTTGGGCTACATCCTTCAGGACGACAGAAAGGAACCGTTTTGAGAGAACATAATGACAAGCGCTTCCTCCAGGCTCCCAGCTGCCTTCCTGGGATCAGCCCTGTGTGCTCTCAGGTCCCCCCCGTCCCCAACATCTTGATTAATATGTTTGTGTAGCCCTCTGTTCTCGATTCACCAGAGTTTACCACCAGCACACAAACGCAGATGTGGACCCACATGATCACACACAATATATACACATACACATAGGCACTATGGCACTGCTGGGTAGCATATAATAAAAACAAGACGACAAAAATAAACACAGCTATAGTCAAGCAGGAATTCAAAATTTAACCCGTTTATGAACATTACAATATCCTTACCTGAGAGAAACTGCATGTTTTCATATTCACAATTTCATGTTATGCTTTATCCAACATGTGTTATTAATGTTATTTTAATACAACTTTAGATTTTGATATTATAATAATACAAAATCAAACTTTTTGCAGAAGTTAAAATCAGAGCATGTTGTGGTAGTCAATGCAGGCGGGTCATTTTTCAAAATTTTTGAGAGAAAAAAGGAGAGAGAATTTTTTTTCTTTCTTTTCTGCAGCCCATGACCCGTTGGTTGGGGACAAGCTTGGTAAGCAGCTACATACACTATTCTTTCAGGCCTTTTATTGATAAAATGCCTTTAAATCTGTACAAAAATCATCCTTTAGGGCCTCCATCTTAATTAGAATTTCGAATTATTCTCCAAATATAATATATGAAAAATGATTGAAAATAAGAATAAGGACAATGAAAACAGAGAATAATAAGATCAGAATGAACAAAGGATTACCAATCGAGAAGCTTCAAATCTGGAAATTGCTGTTCTGTACGAATCCATCCCATAATAGCCTGGGCAATTCTACTACAAACCAAGGACCACCAACAATGCCATGTCGTCCTCAATACTCGGAATTGAATATTAGGCCAACAGAAGAACATGTATACCGTTACATTACATTACTTTAGGGAAACTCGTAGCAGTGGTATATTAGTCGTAGTAATAGTGGCAGCAGCAGCAGCAGCATGACAATGTTAAGGTGGACATAGATGGCAATGCTTCCCCACAGAACCACAAGATTTGTGTTTGGTCAATTATTTAATTCCTGTGTCATTACATCTTTTACAGTTGGAAACTGTTTGCTTCCCTTTTTAAATGGTGCCACCTTTGTGAGTAAAATACATTTGTGAGATGGGCAGCATCGCTTATGCTTATGTGGGGTGCGCCCATGAAAAATCGGCCAAATCTTCTCTGCTGTTTAAATTGATACATTTAACAACGTGTGGATTTGACAAACAGGAGCCTCAGCAGGAGGCAAGAAGCTTGCAGAGCCACATGGGCCCGGCCCCTCCTCCTCACACACTGCTGTGGGATGGAATGCCCTCCTTGTTTCTCCATCCCACCGCCTCCACCTGAAGCTCTTAATCTATTGGTGCAGCAATCAGCAGATAACCTCCCCCACATGTTCAGGTTCCCGTGCACGTGTTGCTGACAGCAAACGGAGGGTGGAGGGCGTCATAGCAGCCTGATGGCAGAGGTCATTTGGCTTAAAAACACACTCTCAAGTCTTCTGCTAATCCCACAAATGCTCGCTTCTTAAACAGGCTTTCCAACGGGATAAGATAATACTTTTTCTGCCAGGTTTAGAATCTGTGCCGGTCCAGTCAGAAAAAGTGAGACCAAATAAAAAAATAACTCAAAAGATTCAGAGAAAACATTCTGTGCTGGTGGTTGTATTTTGCGTTGAACCAATTCTTGACAAGGTGAAAAATATATACAGTATACGGAGGAATAAATATCTTACAACGAGCTGCTACCCCACCGTACCGTAGTATGTACACAATCTTACATGAAGAACACAATCGACATGTAGATTTCCCCTCTAGAGTCCACTGTCAGGTCTTTGACACGTCTTCTAGTTTACTTGTTGACACCTCCTCCTCCTCCTGCTCTTCCTCTTGTTTCTTGAAGCCTGGATGAGTCAAGCCGATCACAAGCTCCATTATTCTGGCTCCCATGTTGAGGACAAGAGCGAGCCAAGCCAAGGCAAAGATGATCCATATGCCTGCAAGGCTCCGGTACAGGGAGATGTACTCCTTGCCCGGGTCGGTACCTACCAGGATCAACATTGTTAGAAAATGCTAGATCGCACCACAGAGAAAGGTCGGGTTAGAGTTGTTTTTCTTTTTGAAAGTAATTGTGTCAAAGGCCATCGCCTTTCCACCAAAGTAGATTGTGTTTGCTGTCTCTACTCACCCACCACATAATCTCCAAAACCAATGGTGCTGAGGGTAATGAAGGAGAAATAGAAGCCCTCGCCAAACGTCCAGCCTTCCACATAACTGAACAGCAGAGGAGGGATGACCAAGAACACAAGGCTGCCTGTGATGAAGAACAAGCCCACAGCCACAGCCTCCACCATTTTCTGGGAAAGAAGAATGAGATCCAGTGGCAGCAGTTGAGCAAATGACCAAGAGGGCGTCTTTGACCTCTGCAGTAGTGCCTAGCAAATGCAAAGCTAGAACGAGGAGGGATGGGATCGCATAGAGTGAGGAGCAGTCAACCCCTTTCCCCCTCAAAACCAGCTCTGTAGTTAACCTGTTCTCACGCTTGGTCAGTGCCCCTCAGCGTCTGATATCGAGTGCATGAGACACATTCGATTTTGGAAAGACAATACGTCCGTAACGAGTGGAGACTGACATGCTGTCCTTGGGTCCCAAACCGATGCCGGAGGGGAACCTACAGAGCGTTTTGTTGTTTTAGTGGTGGCCAATGGCTACTGCATCCGTACCTTGTGTGGAACAACTGAGAACATTCCCCTCTCCAGTCGACCGAGGTGGATGGTGAGACACTTGCCCAGCTGTTTGAGGAAGACCAGGTTCAGTGGGATTCCACACAGGGCGTAAAACACACAAAACACTTGACCGGATACAGTGCTGGGGGAGAGGTTGCCATAGCCTGCGGACAAGGCAACGGTCTGTCACTACTTTTATCAAATCGTAACGTTGAAATGCTGTTAATGTTAAAAAGATCATCACCTATAGTCGTGACCACCGTTCCTGCAAAAAAGAAGGAGCTGCTGAAGTCCCAGTTGCTGGGGTTTGTTGAGTTGCCTGAGGGATTCACTCCTTTTTCCCAAGCATCTAAAATCACCTGCGGACAACAACGTGTATTAGCACCCTAGAATAAGATCACACTTACCTCACTCATGCTGACTACATAATCACTTATGTAAACATCTTGGATCATGAAGCACTGATTGATTTCAGGTCAGGTTACTGCAACACTATTTACTATGCACCAAATCATAAAATGTATCGCATATGTAACAGGAATTCCTTAAAGAATTGCAAAGAAAGTCAACCTGAACAAACTTCTCCAAGGCCTGTCTGTCCAGGCAGGTGTAATTAGACAAGAAGTTCAACTTCTCCACTTGGAAGTGGTTCCGGTTGTTGCTCTCAGCCTCCCGCTCCAGTATCTGGAAGATAGCGGCACCAACCAGCAGGTATGTGAAGTGGGCCACAATCAAAAGTACTGCCCAGTCCGCTTTGACCCGCAGAGACTGGAACCTCGCCATCAACCTCCTGGAGCACCGGAGCCAGATCCAACGGTTGATGCTCCACTCAGAGGTCAACCCCTTCAAAAGGTCTTGATGGAATACGCAGATCTCATGGGTAGCTCCCCAAAGTTGTGTCCACCACTGCAGTGCGTGGCATTGTTCTCCAAAAAAGTAAATAGTAAAAAATGGAGATCAAAGAGTATTAAAAAGCAGTGAAAGTGTTTTTCCAGATTTAAATCACAGCAATAGCAAGAACATTTTGATGTTTGGCATATTGGGCTGACAGATCGATCTGGATAATCCCGTAACAGTAAAACATCTCGACTTCTTGCCCCTACTCTGATTGGTCCAAGTACCATAGATGTCGAAGCTTTGATTTATGGGTTGCTCGGGTAACGATCACACCCCTCTTCACCATTCGCGTGACATCTGGACCCAGACAAACACACTTTCAACCGTTTCCACTAATAAAGAAGCGGTGTCCGTGGAACAAAAGTTAATATTTTACCCTACAGCTGTCGGTTTCTTGAGCACACAGAGCGCTGATACGAAAGCCCTTCCATACAATTCAACATTGCAGTGGAGTCGTTCTATCGGAAAGGTGGCATGTTAAAATAGCCTGAGAATATGTGAGAAAAATAATGGAGCTCAGAGAAGAGGGCAATAATGACAGCCATAAATATCATAAAATTGTCCAGTGCTCCTGTTGTTTCCCAAACACACTACTTACCTGCCTGAAAATATTGTTTCAAAGATTTATAATGGCTACATATCACATGAATCCCAGCAATCCCAGTATTAAACACCCACTTCATTGGTCTCGCTGAGAATGTTTTATTTATAGAAACAACTTCTGTGGAGACAAGTCACAACTCAAATTCAACCACTGCAAGTGCAGTGTCGGAAGTCTGATCCTGACCCGGCCCGACACCCTGCTGGGTGACCTTCCGTTGCCACTCTGACCCTGCGGAGACCCGGCGCTGCCTGTGGCCACCAACTCGCCGTGGAACCTGCCGCCAGCGTTTTGTTTCTGGCAGCTTTTGAGTTGCTGCGAAAGCCAACTAGAGGCCTGTCTCCATGGAAAAGCAGATACAGTAGCTTAGAAAATGGTGATACAGGTCACTGAATTACATAAATGTACCGCTCATCAGAGCACGAATTAGGAAGTGGAAGATATAGCAGACTAGTGCACTCCAGGGTTCCCTGAGTTAGAAACCTCTACCTCCCTGGTCAGGACAAACCCCAGCGCTCAGCATCACTGATATAATGAGTCTAATCAGAAAACGAGGGCTGTTTCCTTTTCCTGGCAGCATTATAGTTCACACTTATAGTTTGATGTGCGCTGGGAAACAGATACCATGCAATTTCTAAAATATGCTAAACAAAGACAAAAAAATGAATGCAAAGAAAGTTGGCAAACATCAGCCAAAAGTTCAAATCACAGTCTATTAGTCACAGAAATAACAGATGATCTAATTAAAGACGGCTCCTCGTCCCAGGCAACTGGACGCAAATTAGGCAGCTCCTTGTCATGACTCAAACAAACGAAGGCAAAGCCATGCAAACATGTTGCCTCCAATCTTCACAGGTAGTCTTCGGTCACAGGTGTGTCTGACCACACGGGATGGGCCATGTTAGGTGAATGTCAGGAGCACCGGGCCGGGCTGACGAAACCTATTGGATGGCGATTGCAGTCATGTAGTGACATGGACTAACACATATGAAACATGCGTGTTGGTTCGTTAAGGCCGGTAAAAATCTAAACTGGAAAATGGTCAGACCTAATGCTAATATTTGATTTAATGTAACTTTGACTGCTCATTGTCTGCACTGAACTATGAAATAACATGTTACCAGAATAGAATATAACAATCATTTCACCTCACAATATGACAGACATACTCAATGCAAATACATGTTGTCAACATTATTTGAATTTCAAATTCTGCTTATGGAAGCCGTGTACAGATGCTTTTTTAGGGTGTTTCCCCGCCTTCTGCCCTGTGCATGCTGGGAAAGTTTCCACATCCCCACCTCCCTTAATAGCAGTAAGCAAAGATGGGTATATTTATAAGGACCAGATTACAAATGAGTTAACAGCTACACGATAATGGATCGATCAATCAGAACATCCACATGGCTGGACAGAAGAAAGGATGTTTTAAGGGAGTGATGCTGTGTGTTTGTGACTCCTAAATGACTCTCTTCAAACACGTACTGGAGCCAACTGGTTTCCAGTTGCCCGCTCCTTCCTCTGATATCTTGAGACAACATTTGTTCAGGTCAGATGGCCGGCGTGGGCTGTCATTTATACTGCTGCCCATTATGTCAATGGCATACTCTCCGGGAAGCCAACAAGTGTGTGTATGCAAATAAAGTCAGACAGGGTGTAAGCTTGAGTTGAGAGCTTTTCAGGTGAAAGCCAGCTCACAGATGAGATTGTTTCTTCACACATCTGGATTTTCTCCGTGGTGTCATTTAGACATCTTTAAGGCTCATGTGGACGTGGTACGAGGAGTCAGGTGACGATAACTTCACCTTATTACTGAAGTTGGCCTGAAATAGATGATAAAAAAAGCACAGGACAGATTAGACATCCAGTTGAAATGAGAGAGCCACCTCCTGGTGTGACAAGTGACTCAAGTAGCAAAATCACAAACTAAAATAACTCGCTAGAGTTTTGCAACTTGCAACACTACAACCTTTAAAAAGCCAACACTTACATGCAGTCTATAGTCGTAAGATAGTTGTCGCGAAATAAGCAAGAAAATAACTAACCATATTTCTTTTTGCCATTAAGAAACATGTGAGCACAATATGATCTTCCTGGTCTCACAAACTCAGGTTTTGCATTGTGTTTTTTATCTTTATTTAACAACCCTAAACCATAAGGTACACTGTTCCAGCCTCCAATCTTCACCTTTTAAAGCTGTTTTGATAGGAGGGGTAGCGCCACACAGGGATCACTACACAACCAAAGAGGTCCAGCTTAGTAATGTCAGGCCAAAGAGGAGGGAAGCAAGTCTTCCTGACCTGACATGGGGAAAGAAAGGAAAGAAAGAAAGACTTGCTTCTCTGCCATCCGTCTGCTGTCAGATATCTAGCTGCAAACCAAAAGTCGCCTGAATCCAATCCAGTAAGCGACTACATGCGGGTCAGAGGAGACGAGCGAGCGTAACAGAGGAGTCAGCTTAGTGTGTGTTATCTGGTTTTTCTGTTTACGTGTGTGTGTGTGTTACCTGTCCTGTTCAGGAGGTTTTGCCTGGCTTGGACGAAGGCCAGGATGTCCGCATCAGTCTGCTGGTCTCCGGTCAGTGGAATGGAGGAGGAGAGCTTGGTGGTGGACAGGGCCCTGAAAATGTACAGTTCCTTGCATAAGTATCTCCCTCCACCTTGTGTTGCTTTAATACAATAAATAATGGTCAATATAATTTGGCTTTTTAAAAAAGGTAACGTAAAAGTAAAAATTGCCCCCTCTTCAGCAGATGCCCCTTTGGCTGCATTCACAGTGTGCTCAGTATGCCTCAAGCACGCTGGCACTTTTCTTCTCCTCCACTCTTCCATGAAAACAGCTCAAGCTTTGTCTGGCTGCTCAGGGGTCGGTTGTGAACACCTCACCCCGCCCCCCCTTGTCTTTTAACGGTTCCTGTGGAGCTTCTGCTGGATGCTCAGCTCGTTTTGCTGGAAAATGAATATTCTCCCAAGCCGTATATCTCTTGCACACGGAGGTATATTTCTGCATCCATCGTTCCCCTCCAGGGCCTGCTGCTGAGGAGCATCCACAGAGCACCATGCTCCATGGTGGAGATGGAGTGTTCATAAACACAGTCCAGTATATCTGGCCAGAAAGCTCCGTTTTGGTCTCATTAAACCGAATAACCTTCTTCTGATTGACCTCAGGGTCTCTCACATGCTTATGGGAAAATTCCTCGGTTTTAATTGGGATAAAGTTTTATTTGTAAAAAAAAATGATATTCACCATGATTTCATGTATAAAAGCAACAAAAGTGGAAGTACAAGTACATGCTCTTTACAGTGCGGGCATAACTGCTGTATTATGTATTATTAAGCATGTTAATACAATTTAATATCCAAAAAGTAATCAAATTGGTGTGTGTGTGTGTGTCTGTGCGTGTGTGTCCACCAACATAAATATGAGTGGCAATATGCAAACAGGTGTTTAACACGTTCACTCATAGATTCAAATGTTTTATTTTATATTGATTTACAATCAGGGACATTCGTAATTGGTCCGTGTGACGGATTCACTTGAAATCATTTTGCGTAAAGAGCCAACATTTATAATAATTGTGTCACAGTCCAAATACTTATGGCCTTGACTGAACCATGCTCTGACACTTTTTTTTTTAAGTGAGGCACCATAAAATAGGCAGCACACTTAACAGGTAAAATCTCCTCATATCATGGAGCCGCAGTAAAAAATAAATCATAATAGCATCTCTGTCTGAGTGGTTGCTGGAGTGACGGACGAGAGCATGTATGTCATTCCCTGAGTGTTTTACTGTGCTTGTAAAAGGGTAGTTACAGCCTCAGCGCACAAGCCAGACCCCTGCGCTTTGATTGGTTAGTAGAGTTTGGAGACATTACTCTTGAAGAAATAAAAAGCTATGGCTACATTCCTGTGCAGAGAAAACACACCGCAGGGCAATAAAACAGTATGTATGTAAGAGCTAATGCAAACATGTTGGATATGCTACTGCATTGATTGGGCACCCACTATATAAATGTATACATGTTGCTACTGTCTGCCATGTTTTCAGATCACATGATGAGACCCCAGCAAAGGTTTTCCTTTAGCATCTTTGATGAATCCACAGAGCCACGACTTTGATTCATACTGCTGCTGGAATTAGCTGCATATCTGCCGTTTTCAAAGCCGTCTCTAATTCCCAACATGCCGGCCCTCCATGTACCTCCACTCAGAAGAAGGGGGGTCAGTCCTCCTTTGGCCCGGGGTCTCTTCAGGTCCTGCTTCGACGGCCGCAGCGAGAGGAACCCTTTTTGGGGCGAACCTTCTGAAATACAGATAATGTTACTGGATGTAATTATTTTATGAAGATGACAGTGTGACATGCTGTATTTATGTCCTGACCTGAGGTCTCCAACAGCGGTGGAAAAGACTGGCTTGGGTTCTGGGTCGGCTCGAGACTCCCTCTCAGAACTGTATAACAAGTCATTAAGCTTCTCGCTGGTTTCTTCCTTTCTCGCTATCATAACATACACATACGCACCCAACCACAAGAGGGAGCCACCGAACCACCAGGCATATGCACATTGGGTGTTGCGGGGGGGTCTGATGGTTCAAGCTCAACCTCGTAGACCATTTTCATACCAAATATAATAGGATGCATCATCTTTCAGTATTAAAGTATGATGGAAACCTGCAGGTACGATAGGTGATGTTTCATTATTATATTACATTTACTTTCCGACATTATATAACAGTGATTCCAGATCAAACATTGACAAGGGGCCCTTTAGCTGCTGACTGAGTACCCAACAAAAAGAATGAAGCAGCGCTCTGCATGAACATGACACTGTCACAACAATCCAGCTTTTTACTTCAGCGGTTTGTTCACAGTTCACAGGAGCAGATGCTTATCTATTAATTCAAAAATGTGAATCACAGCAACCGCAAGAGATCCTTGATGAACACAAGACCAGGCGATGGGTCCAGCAGTATATGAGATTAGCTTTCTCAAACACACACTGCTGCATTATGAGATAACCAACCAGTGGGACAAATACCGTGGTCATCGTTTCTGTGAATGGTAAACATTATCCTGACCACGATGTTGTCCTGGTAAACGTGTGGCAGACACGAGCTGCCAAATAGCACCTGTGTCCTGGTTAATGACTATCGGTCGCCCCCCAACACAATGACAGTATCTATTAATCTAATAACTGTTCCATGGACACAACCACTGAACAGGTTGTGTGCCGTTGGAACACAGATGCTGAAGTATAAAAATAGCATAAAGGAATTGAGGAAATGACTCAGCGAGGGGAAGATGTCTCTACTGGCTTCACTTTGCATGTAACCATTCGCACTCAACACTCAAAATCAACACTTAGTGGCACCCATTTCCTCTACATTTCCTCTGTTGTAGGGGATTAGGACGATGGACAGAAAAAGTCATTATCAGCACAATGTCTCACCAAAGCGCTGGAGGGCTGGGCAAAGGCGGCTGCAAGGTTCTATGTGGGGACCCCGCGGGACCTCCGGCCGTGGCCTCCGACTCCTAGTCACAAACATTGAGAAACATTTGAACAATTTTAAAAAGACCACCAATACTAGCGACAGCGAAAACAACTAGGCCACATGTGACTCACAGCTGGAGGGAACAGGAGACCTCCAGGTATGTTGTATTTGTGTTGTCTGGCTCCATCTCTTACTCAGAGCTTGATCAATTACATGTGTGCTTCTTTCCAAAAAAAGAACAATAAATGGATGAACACAGCAGGGCCGGCTTCCTGCTTGGGAAAATCCAAAACTGCACATGTCTAAGGTCTGTCTGTCACACATCCTCTTATTTCTAGTGAAGAATTCCCAGAACCTTGCTCAGATGGAAGGGATTCATCGCTTCCCATAGAAGTAGTGTCTGCAGGTCAGATGCTGCTGCTTAACATCCTCTTTGTGCCATCGAGGACAAGCGAAGTGTGTGTGAGACCGGAGACTCCGTTGTGGATGTGTTATATCTACTCTTATGCAAATGATTGTCTTTCACAGTGATGTGCAAGTCTCCTCACAGGATGGTTTGGATTTTTTCCACAGTAGGGTTGTGTGAGGTACTTCTGTTGTGTCAGAGTATTTCCTACAGCAGACAAAGCAATGCACTACTGCAGCTACATGTACTGTAGACACCTAACACAATCGCCATCGGCTTAGTTGTGTAACGGTTTGTGTGGACCCAAATGCACTACACACGACTCCAGGGCTCTTTGAACTTTCATTAAAGCTCCGGAACAGCAGGCATAGTAACGGTAGGCCAGAGGGCCTGGTAGGTTCACCAGGGTAAACGGGGGCAGGCTGGCTCGGCAACAGGCAATCCGCCGGAAAGGTTACTGCTGAAGAGTCTGGCATGAAGCGTAGGAGCAACCTGGCAGCGAGTGAGTGACAGCGGCAACACGATCCTGTAGATACACGCGCTACAACATCAGGAGAACACGTCCTCTTCTCACTCAGAAGGAGGCGCAGGTACTGATTCAGGCTCTTGTCATCTCCCGCCTGGACTACTGCAACTCCCTCCTGCAGGTCTCCCTGCTACCGTCATTCCACCTCCAACCCCTCAACCGACCGCAGAGAGCCTTCGCATCTTCAGACTAAAGACACACCTCTTCAGACTCTACCTCCACTAAAGGACTAACCAACTGTAGCACTTAAATTGTACTCATAACGCCACTCATCTATAGCAAAATGTAAATTGGCTTATTTAAGGAAATTGCACTTTCTAGTTTCTTGTTCTTCTGAGTTTGTACCCTATGGTTGAATGCACTTATTGTAAGTCGCTTTGGATAAGAGCGTCAGCTAAATGACATGTAATGAAATGGTTAAATAGAGAAGGGAGTGAGTAGGGTAGACAGGTAAGAGAGATTGGGCTGACGAGGTGAATGTGGCCAGCAGGTGAACAGAATGAACTGATGGAGTGAGGGGGACGTGCAGCTAAACTGGGACAAGTTGTACATTATTTTGTGAATACTTTCAGACATTGATTTCCTATGAGGAGCTGACAAATTATTATATCACTCTTTTCAAAGCTACAAGACCCGTCTCACAAAAACAATAAACAGCAATTTTTTTGTGACTCTCTTTGGATAGGAGAGGGATAAAGTATGTGGTGTTGGTAAGGGGAAAGGAGACCCCGGGGTCCCCGTCCTTAAGCACACTCACTGGACCATCATTTACTAAATGCTGTATTGAAGACCTGAAACTAGATTAAGTCCAACTGTTGACAATGTTTACGGAGGTTGCCGGCTGACTTGAAATAACCAAAATCCCACAATAATACTGACTAACTGAGGCAGCTCTAGTGCAGCAACTCATGTGTCCTGCAAGGCACAATTACTGGTGGCTTTAAAGAAAGTCTAGATCAGGGGTCTCAAACTCGCGGCCCGCGGGCCAATTGCGGCCCTCGGGACGATATTTTGTGGCCCCATCCTTAATATGAAAGTGTAATGTTAGTGCGGCCCGCAAGTTTTATACTGTAACCCCACTGTCAGCTGCTGTGTGGGACATGTTATGATGTTCTGGTTTCCTACTGTGTGCTTGTCCAGTGAACGTGGCATGCATGTGACTGACATGGGGGGCGGGTCGTGTGTGTCGGCCGAGGTGCAGAGAGCAGGAGGGTGAAATTCAGTTTCCTGCCCTCTTTCGCGCAGGTGATCATGTGACTAACCGTTAGCATCGCTCGTTTAATAAAGTTTTCCTTTACGACTCACACTAACAACACATGAAGCATCTGACGGCACCGACGAGCGTCTCCGTCCATTACTACGCAGCTTCGATTCACGTAACTTCACGTTTGGCTATAAAGGAATTCCACGGTCACATGACCTTAGGTCTCCCCCGCTGAGTTAAAGGTGGACTAGTGTTGTAGTCTCATTCGGACCGATCCCCCAGGGTGGGGTTCAATGACTGCTTTTGAAAGTGAGTGTTAAGTTGTGTTATTGTCGACCATGCCGTTCGGACGCTAGTCTGGCCCGCGTTCGGTTGAAGTGGGCTGCATCTGGCCCGCAGCTGATTTGAGTTTGAGACCCCTGGTCTAGATGGTGGCTTCAGACATCTTTTTGGTGTCCAAACTACAGTATTTTACCCGTCTGTTTCTCCATCTTCGCACTGACTATGAAGAAGTTCCTCATTTAACCCCACTTCAAAACATCTGGACCATACCAAGCATTCAAGCACAAACACAGTTGTTATTTAGGACTGAAACAATTGCTGACTCACTCCTTCTCCCCTGCCGTGGTGCTGAGAAACCTGATGAACATGTTGTGCTTGTTAGGACTCTACTGGGAGGGTCCTGATGCTGTGTTGCCTCTCTAAGCTGCTCTCCAGGCGCTCGCTTGGGGGTCACATGTAGTTCTGTTTGTCTCCCCACCAGAGCCCCATCAGAGGCTGCACGGCTCACACTGGTGCCATAAAAAAGATCATCTTACATGCACACGATGGCCAATACGCAGAACACGCACAAAGGAAAGCTCCGTGATGAAGCGACGGGGCCTTCCTGGCTCATTGCACAAAAGGCATCTTTGGCAGTCCGGCTGTCATGCTTACAGAAGCTTTATGTAGTGTTGTCACATAGATGGGTGGGGACGAGTAAGGTCAGTCACCTGCACGCTTGAAGCCTCCAGGCCCCACCACTTATGGAAGTCTCTCTGGAGCTTGACCTTCGCTCTCTCCAACAACAGCTGCAGGTGCTCAATCTCTGTCCGCAGCGCTTTTAGAACGCCGATGGAGCTCTTGTAGCTGAGGGGGGATATCAGCAGCACCAGATTCATCTCATGTCCATCGCACACAGCCTCCGTTGTGTCTAATCAATCTGAGCAGTGTGCTAGCAGAAGCTACATAACGTCTGGTATGTAATACATCACATGCACTTTCACTCACAACTTCTTTTCTTGCTCGATGTGTTTGCACAGGTTTTCTTCCACCGGGTCGACCTCCGCCTCGACCTCTGGGCAATTCTCTGTGACACCTGTGGCAGAAATGGACAGGCACAAGAAGATGTTTTGAAGCCAGACAGAAATGTGGAAATACTATATAGATATAAATATAATGGTCAGAATGTTTCCCCCTATTGTGGTAGCTAATGCGGGGCACGCGAGTGTGGCTCCTTCAAAGACAGCGCTTCAAGTACTCTGGATAACAGAGGCCAAGTGTTCTCTGATGCGGGACTGGAAATAACAAGAAAAGCCTTTGGCGCCTGAACTGGAAGGGAGAGGTTTGTGTGCTTTGCAACCAGATTTCCTCATCAAAGCATTTGTGTCACAAATGTTCAGAGAAGCGCAACATGAGGGAGTCTTAGGGCTGTGACGCCCACCGTTTGGTCACTAAGCATTCAATCAGCGAGGACCACTGCAAAGCTTTGAAGTGGGCACTGCTGCACATGCAGGGCAGGAGCACCCACAGCGGCCCTGGGTTCTCACACTATGCTAACATCTGCCAGTGCAGATGTGTTGAGATTTTGACACGTTTAATTGCTTCAAGCATCTGTGCACTGTTTAGCTGTCCGTGTGTAGATGGAGATGTTACGTTGCAATTCTTCAACCACACAGTTACATTTCCTGCTGAAGGAATATTCACGCTCAATTGGATCTTACTAAGAGCTGCTCTCTGCCTCCTCTGCAACGCTAACTGCTTCTTCAGCTCATCTGAAAAGAGACAGAGGGGAGGAAAAAGACATTTGAAACGTTAGCCTTTCCATTTTTTCTACATTTAAAATGCATATAAATTGAATACGTTTTTTTTACATAAATGCATGTTTATTTAAGACGTTCATTTTATAATACAGTCGAACACTCAGAACTAAGCAATGATCTCTTTAACTTTGTTCTGTACATTACATGAGAACCATCTTTGCCTGTTTCAGAATGACATCTAGGGTTTACATTTATAACACAACTGTTTAAAACTTTTTGAATAGACATACATCAGAAGACATGACAAAGTGTTCCAGACCAAACCAGCGCTCAGCACTCAATGGGGAGCCAAAAAAGATCTCCCAAACACCCTGAATCACGAAGCTACTGAGTAGACAAAAGCCCAGTACCACGTGTGATGACAAGAGTTTAAACGGCCAACGGAACGGTTTGAATGGAGTCAATGAACTCCAAAGCGCAGACCCTCTGAACTCCACGATGACTGCAACAATACCAGGAGTATAACAGGACTCTTCTTCACTTTGCTTTAATGTTGCAACTCCAGACCTGGCAGGGTGAGTTCCACCAGAGAAACCCTGTAGCTTGTTACTACTCATCAAACTCCAGCCCACTGGGGCGTCCGATGACGGGGGGATGGGTGGAGGGATGGGCGTACGGCCAGCGCCACCCCCTCGCCGGCCGGACCGTCAGCGCCACCCCCCCGTCGACCGAAATGGTCCGGCCCACGTTCGGTCGGAGTGGGCTGCATCTGGCCCGCACCTGAAACGAGTTTGTACAGTATACAACGGAGGCAGTACAGGCCGTCGGTACAATGTGTTTCTAATTGTCAAAGGTCGGGTTGGTCATCTTCTTGGGAGGACGGCCCCAGCACTCATCTCTCTTCATCCACAGGCTTGACAGGTGTGATAACTAAGAATAAGCTAATAATGTTTTGGGGGGCGTGTTTCTGACTTTCTTGCTATGTGTATAGCGACCTATAGAGCTCGTGCTGCTGGCTACTTTTATTCGTAAAGAGTTGTTAAAAGAGGAGAGTAACCGATCAAGAGTAAGCTCTGTGGTTTCAACATATTAACTTCTTTTTTACATGGATTGTCTTTTCCAGTAAAGTGCATCTAACCCTAACAATATGAGGCTGATCCCATAGATTGGTTTTCTAAAGGTTAGTGATCAAGAAACATTGATGGGAGCAGGATTCAGTAGAATACTTCCATCCAGGCAGTGAAATGAGATGTAATTAGCCTGGAACAGCGGTTATGCTGGATCTTTGGAACACAAGGAAGCAGCAGCTGAAAGGAGAGCTTTTTGATTTTACAGCGATCTACTATCTCAGAGGTGTCTTCGGACACTTTCGGTTCACACCTGTTGCAGTGATGAACTTGAGGTAGAGTAGTTTACAGAAGAGCTCGCGCTTCCTCAGTCAGTGATTGCCCTCTTGTGACTCCGCTGAGCCAGAGAGCCGCTGGAGGGAGGCGCGTCGGGTCGCTGTGGTGATACGGGGCAACACATGGGTAGGTCATTAGTGTCTGCTCTCCTCTAATTGACATATGTAATTATCCCATTGGAAATATTGAATTTGTCTAGCGACGCTTTGGTGGGACGACTTTAAGGCAGAAGGACAGATGTTGTGTACTATATTGGAGGCCATGTCCATCCACACTAAATCAGCAATACATTTATTATGAGACAAAAAAGATAAAAGGCACATTGAATGGCAGTGTGGCATGTGGGGAGTTTCCATTACAGCCAGTCAGGCCTTGAGGGGGTTGTCTGTAACACAATTCTGTCGCCAATCTAAAAGCCCCAAGTCCAAGCGCCAAAAACGAGAAATCCAGATGAAGTATCGTTTGGCAAAAAAAGAAAGAAAGGGCAAAAGTGGGGGGGGGGGGGGACTACCTTCTTGTGCAACACCTCTCGTGGTGCCATAAAGCCGTTGGATGACTGCGCTGGCTATGACAGAGGGAAGATGGAGACATTGAGAGTATGTAAGACTAACATCGGTCCGGCTGAAGTGCCTTTGATTGAAGCACAGTCTCTTATAACCCCCCCAGGATTAGTGAAGAATAACAATGTCGTTATTCCACAATCCAGGTTGAGCTTTACATCAACGCTCAGCATTTCGCTATTTTGCATTTTTATAAATGATTTGCAATCTGTCCAAGCAGCACACAGACCAGCTCATCTTTCAAATCTCTTGACACTCTCTTTAAGAAATAAATGTAGACCGCACTACTGGGGGGTTTCAGCAGGCCGGAGACATGAGGGGATGATGTGAAAGGTTACAAATGACGTGCATGCCCACGAGGAAATCTTTTTCCTTCTGACTGTGGAGCAGGAACCAGGGTTTGGGAACCCCTCACAAAGCCACGTGTTTTTACACAAAGTCGGCGGTGGGCGAAGCGGAGAACGTAATGAGCTGCGTCGCACTGTGGCTTCACAGACGCCGCTCTCACAAACAGGGCCGTGACTAACAGATGCACAGGGTGCTTCTTGTACAATGTACACCGGATTTAGAATTATTAAAGGCAAACGCATGCCTGCGGACAGGGTGAAGGAGTCACATCACAGACTGGTTTACTTTTCTAAAACAAAACTAGCAGAGACAAAGTACGGCTCGCCACAGTAGTCACACTTTTTTTTTTTCATTTGTTTCAGGGGGGAAGAAATCGGTCGCCGTGCATCAGCAGTCACTCACTTCGCTGCCAGGTTTTCTGAGTTGTATAGTTACAAAAAGCCAGGACGCTCAGTACGGACGTCATGAACATACTGTAGGATAAACAGTCCTTGTATGAAGGAGGTCGGAATGAGTGAATCAAACAGACTACTCCAAACTAACATCTTTTCATAAACCATCACTTTAATAAGTCTTACGTTGGCCTGGAGCTTTTTCAGAACGAGGCAAAGCAGTCAAACTACTGTTGGCCATAGCATTGAAATAATGTGTCGGTCACACATGGAGTCACTCAACAGTATTACACCACTTCAATGACAAGAACAATTCCATTAAAGGTGCATTTTCATACGTGTCAAGTAATAGCGCAGTGAGGTGTTCTCGCTCCAATAAGTAATACTTGTGTGTTCATATCCAGACTGGCTTAACATCCCAACCTCTTCCAAAGCAGGCAGGGTTTCCTCCCACAGGGACAGCAGACGTGCCGTCTTTAAGGAGCAGTATTGAGCTGCAAGCCTCAATAAATATTTGGTGATTTTTGTGGCCTGGAGGTTAAATTGGATATGCCGCTCACTACCACAGCACGCTCAAGATCCAAAGATCATACAGACTGTCCAAATTCTTAATGGATGAAGAAGGAACGCACACACAAGTAATTGCTGTCATTTGCACTGTTTGTACAGTTAGCAATAATTTTGATAGCATACCCTTAAATCTATCTGCAAGTCTTTGGGTCGTGTCAGCAGCGGTGAGCAGAGTATGAAAGTGGGACACTCAAAGCAGTTAGCAGATGCTTCATCTTGGACTGTATTCTAAACATGTTCCTTCTCCATCTGCCATAAAAATTCAAAGATGTCTGTCCATCTGCCCTACACCTTTAATGAGGTAGAAGGTGAGCGTAGCTGATCCCCCTGCATAACTATAGATCCCTGCTTTTTGGACCTAAGGGCTGGGATCGTATATGCTCCTCCAGTGGGATCGGCTTCAAGAGTCATTTGCTGTGGCCAAGACCAATACGACAAAGCAGGGTAATATTTAGACTCTGATGTATCCACGGGCTACCGCCTCTCTCTTTCTCCCCTGCCACTGACCCTCATGCTCGGTACATCCATCAAAAAAACACACCACAGAAAGCTTTTGTCTACATTCTACTGAATGTTTCCATGTTCTCCATTAACCGTGAGACGCAGGTAGTGTAACATTTCCAAGGAGGGCTTCCAAGATGGCACGGAAACACACTGAGCTAAACATTATGGTACTACTTTCCATCCAGAAGAGGCAACCACCTTCCACTATAAACACTGTCCCTCATCTAGGAAGAATGCAGCCCTGTGCACCTAACAATGTAATAATATCTGACAGCGTCAAGATGTTTTTTGGGTATCTTTCCAAATGTGAATAAGTTGAAGGATTCAAATGTTAAATTCTATCCTAAAAACACACATTCATTCAGTAAATCCAATTTCTAAATACTGCACCCACACAGCGATGGTGTCTGCAGAACACATTGGAAGAGTTAATATGCAACGCGGTGTCTTAGCGTGATGTATGACAGGTCCGGTATACGGCTGTGTCAGCACCTCACGGACTGAATGCTCCTTCCAAGGATGATAAGTGTATGCTGGCATGAATGAGGGTAACAGGCAAATGCTACCAAACCACCAAGCGTGATCTGAGGCAGCGAGGATGCCAGGCACCGGTGTGAGGCAAACCTATCCATTTCAATGGCATGTGAAATGAGCCACAAAGGGAAATTCATAAATGTGGCTTACAATAGTAAATGCAAACCAGATTGAGGACATTTATAACCTTGGCTTTAGTGGAAAATTCAACAAGACTGCAAAGATATAATGTAAACCTATGGAAATCAGTGGCGACAGGCTCTAAGTAGCCCTGTGTACCTCATTGTGATACATTGCAGAATAATTTGATTTATACTGGGACTTCATGCCCCACAATGAGTAAGACTTTATCTTTAAAAACCTACCAAAGAAACAGGAAAACAATAAACAGACACATTCATTAGGGGCGGAAGAAGCTAAATGCATTCACGGTTGTTACTTTTCATACGTTTGTGTGTGCTAGTACTTACTACTCTATCACATTTTTTACTATCGCAAGTAGCAATCTGCCCGTTGCAAACAGGCAAGTATTAAGACACATGTGACGTGACCAACAGTTTGCATGCCGGGTGTCAACTTAGACAGGTGTGTACAACCACACAGGAATTTACTTCAGTAAAATACTCTGTTACTCTTTCCATTCATGCTGATGGACCATTGGTGGCGTTTAAGTGTGGACACACAGTACATACATACAGATATACATATTCATGTTAAACAACAGAGATCTAAACTTCAGAATGGGGTTTCTCGAGCTAGGCCTCGTTGTGGCGTTGTAAAGCTGTCTGTCACAGACGTTGCTGAGAAGAACTCAGGGGTTTGCTTATAGAGTCGTCATAAAACAGCTTGGGCCCAGGCCCAGTAAAGAGGCCAGGTAGTAAGGCCACAGTAGGTGTGTGGAAATCAGAACGACTTGCGGTTTCGGAGAAGTTCAGGAATGTGCTGAGAGACATTTCTGCACTGCGGGGAAACAGGAGCCCAACAGAGATCTGTTCATTAAGGGGTTTCCGGGCAGGTGGGCTTCTGTGTTTTGGGTTCCACAGCACGTTAACAGAAATGATTAGCGTTCTTTAGGGCCTCGTAACCTCGTGGCTTGTCTTTTACAACGTTAATGATGGAATGTAGAGTTTAATTTTTCTACAACTCCTGAATGTAATTCTATTCCTGCAGGGCAACAACTCACTTATTCGGTTTTTGGCCTCGCTCAGTTTTTCCCCAATTCTTCTGGCCTCAGCCGACCTGCACAGAAGAATGCAGGTGTTAATGGCCAAAGGTGGCAACGAAAAAGTCATTAGATGAATTGAATGTGGTAAAGTAAATCTAAGCATGCCCAATGAAAGCTGATAATTTCTTCAATTTTGAGGCAGTGACGCATTCAGGCGCATAAGTAAGATATAACATGTGTTACATCTTTTGGCATGTTACTCAAAACACATAAAAAAGCCCCTCGCTGGATGGACGTGGTCAAAGGTTTGTGTCTAAATCCACCCATTGCTAAAATGCAATCCTGCTGGTGCCAATCATCCCAACTGAGATGACACATTACAACATAAGTGCTTCTCACAGTAAAGTACAGCAAGCAGGGACATATTATGAAGCATTAATGAATTACAAGGTCAAATATCATAATTTTTTGCCAATCACCATTTCTTGTAAGGTTCATTGTGTGCTACAATTAGTGCAATTACCTGACATTATATTTTTAAACATAATATAATTACACCGTGTCTTTGTGTGAGTAAACAGCAATTATAACAAAAAAAAAACAAAAAAAAGAATGAATATAGATATTACTCCTTTTGAAATGCGATCATAATGTGTTATGATTTCCGTTTTAAACCATTAAGAATATTTACGAGCACTTATAACTTTTATTATATAGCTGTCTAAGAACAGAATTAGAATTTTGTTAAAATACATTACAGGGTTTGGATAGAAGATGCTACCAATATTGTGTTGCTGCATGTACAGTACACAAAAATAGCATTAAATGAGCTAAAAATAATGGAATGTAACAAGCTGTGTCATTGGTCACTAACCTCTGCTTGAGAAGCTCCCTGTTGTGCTCAACGGTCACACGGTCCTCATGGTCCCTCATGAAGGTCTCAAAGGCCTCTTGCTTTCCCATAGACAGCTGTGGATCTAGAGGGAAAAGATCTGGCATGATCTGCATTGTGCTTATCAGCAGCTCCTGTTCATATCACCACTTCCATCCTAAAGACCCAACCCTACCCTACTTAGCACCGTCCTCAAAAGGCTGCATGGCTGCCGTGCTACTGAAATAAATAGACTAATTGGGGGAAGTTGTGTCTGGCTGTGTAGATTATGTCAGACCTGAGCTGTGTGCGTTCCCACATGCACAGGTACTCTACTGCAGTGTGGCAGCCAGATGCCAGCTAGAGCCCCACAGATACAGCGCGGTAGATGCAGACGCCTATTAGCCAGTCATGCACTGTTTAAAGAGAATATTAACACAAATATAAACAGCATACTCTGAGCATGTCCGCATTACACAGCAGATTGCAGCCATCGAACGAGCCACTTACCACATGTAAGGGAACTACATCATTTTGATGTAACATGGGTGTTTATTTTGTGTACGCTTTAATTAAATGAAATATTAAAAATGGCCTATTTCATCCAGTGTCATTACAGTGGGCCAGCAGGCACAGGACGTGGGTCTGCTGTGAGAAACACCTATTTGCTCTCAAAGCAGACCTAAATCATATGTGGGCACTGATTGCTAAGAGCTGCTACATGTAGCAAAGTGTAATCATGAGGCAATTACTACGTTCTTAAAAACATGAAGTTGTTGTTGTGATACCCAAAGGAAAATTATAATAGAAAACAGTTACAAATGATACAAACTAGCATTGATAAATGCTTCCCAACAATATCCACACCCCTCCCTTTTTAAACTATGGTGATCTTTGTGACAAAAATGTTCTAACCAAAGAGTGTACACAGGACAATAACTCTCAACACGAGATTAATTGCAGTTCAGTGTGGAATTTTTGTTTCTTTATTTTTGGAAAGTTGTGATTGAAACCAGCAGGCAACTCACGGTCACTGAAAGAGCCAAGCTCAACAAATCGCTTTAAGGGTTTCTAGAGGGGAATGCACCTACATTCCAAGGGTATTTAAGAGCGAAATGACATCGTATTGTGTATTACTAACATCATTTGTGGGGTAATGAGATTGCACAGACTAGGGGCCAACTTTCCGAATTCCTCTTTTCCGTGCTTCTCGTGCTGACAAAGCGCAGATGTTTCTCAGGCAGCAGGAATGTGTTATTGGGACTGTAGTTGCTGCTTCGTCAACTTTTAATGAAATACCACATGAATGACTGCACTGTTAATAATAGATATTGCTTTTGTTGTACATCCGTGGGCAGTGGTACATTTTAGTGGGAGGGCCTGGTTACCTCATTAAATGCTGGCTGGATTTACAGATCAAAGTGCCACACCAGCCCGAATTACAACAGTGACACCTCGTCCATCCATTAGAGAAGTTTGAACTTTACAAAAACTATCTAAAGAGCACAAGAAGAAGACACTGTGCATCTGTGCCTCTGGAGGAAGTCAATACCTGAACCTTGAGGAACCTCACGGAGGCATCTCAGAGTAGTCCACTTTGCAATTCACGGTGCATGTAGAAATCAGGTTCTATGAGGAACTCAACTCTAGAATCGCTCCATCGTGCTTGTATGCCTCCGGCACATTTAAAGGTGGAGTGGTCCCATTAATATGAACCCTTGGACTATGGCCAAACACTGAACCAGGGGTCTCAAAGTCATTTCAGGTTCGGGCCAGATGCAGCCCACTTCGACCGAACGCGGGCCAGACCATTACCGGAGAACGGTACGGTCGACAGAGGGGGGAGAGGGGGGAGGTCTCTGACAGTTTGGAGTTTGAGACCCTTGCACTAAACTTTCTTTGTGAGTAACAGTTCAATTTTGAACCCTAAATGCTAATCACATTCTCTAATCCAAGTGGGTCTTTGGGCCAAATTCACAGTTCACAATTCTCTGGAGGCGTTCCTGACATATCGCAAGAATGAGACAGCCGGCAAGTCACTGTGAGCTTTGACCAATAAAAACTAAAACAATTCATCATTGATTCAAAGCGGATGTATGTAGGGACAGATGGACTGACCCAAACTGACTGCCACGTTGGCATAAAAGGCTCCCTCGTGTTTATCTTTCATCCCCTACTGGCAAAGATGGGAGTCCAGTAAAGGATTATGGAAACGAGTACAGTGGATAATACGCCATTCAATCAGCATGAATGGTTTCCATGGAAAGGTCATCATCATTACATTCACAGTTAATCTTCATGGGACAGGAATTACCCTCAAGGTAACCATAGAGGCTACGGCGCCAGACTCCTCCGATTAATCCTTAATTTAAACATCCAGTGAGCCATCGAGCATGCAGAGAGGAGACGTGCAGGGCATTCGTTTTGAATTAGGACGGCATAAAGAACAATGATCTAATGTGCACATACACTTTGGTTATGAGTCTCCAAGTGGGTCATGGAACATTGGCTCCCCAGATGTGCAGCACATGATACAAAACAATGTGCACTCGCTGCATCAAGTGTGTGTTTCTACAACTGTTGTGTTTACAAACTGCATCCGAACTGCATCCTGCCCATTGTGCCCAGTGTGAGCACCCGACTTCTCCCCCAAAGAATCGGATATTCTATGAGATTAAACCCTCAAATGTCTGCGTGCGGACTGCTGGATGTGTTGTAGCGGACTCTTCATCCTTCCAGCTCCCAGCAGACTAAGGACACAATTAGCCGCCGTCTGTGATTCATCAGCGTCACAATGAGACAGACAGACACAGTTGGGAAAGTGTCACTGTTCATAGAGCAAAGACCAGATTTTCAAAGTTATAGTTGTATAAATGCCTGAGACCGGATAATACCGGTCTGTGAACCAGGATTAAGCAGATACCCAACGATCATCTCAGGGCATATTCTCCTCTAGGTTTATTCATAGGCTATGACATATAACAATCTAACTCAATGTTAGAGGAACCAGCCATGAAAATATTTGCTTTAGGAGGGGATTGCTACATGTTTGGGGAAACACACAAAAAATTGAGGACTTTCGGGGGAGGGTGACAATCCTGTAGCGAGGTGACCCAGATGATGATGCTTGATCACGCGGTTTCTAAGAAGCTAATACACACATAGCACCTAATTCCTAACTCACTAGCTCTGACTGTTGTGTTCCAATAGGGCGTATGTTAACATCTTTACAAACTGTCTTCGCCTTGTAAAGAGCAGCCAAAAAAAGAGACTTAAAGCTTATAAAGTACCTCTTTTCTTCATCTGTATAGCTTGTCCTCCATGGTTGGCTGGGATACTGTCCAGGCTTCCTTCCCTAGACGGCGGCCCTGCTGCCGGCCTCAAGGCACTCTGGGAAGCTGGGCTCTGGCCATTGGGAGTGTTAGCGAGCTGATCACCAGTGTCCTGGAACCTTTTTTTCTCCCTCTTGAGCATCTTCACTAGGATACCTTTGGGAACAAGTTGAGGATTCTACTTCTATTTCGTTTGGACAAAGTACTGTATGGAAAAAAAAAAAGGATATTTCACTAAACGTGGAGGCAGATGTCGGGATTTGAGGATGACAGTTGGCTGCATTGACATACACAGTAAAACCGGGAGCAAAAATGTGATTTCTTCAGGGGCGCTGACATGGGACCAGCGTCTAACACACACACTGTATTTAACCGCTTTCCCTCCCTAAAGCACAGATCACACAGAACATGTATTGACACAAACAATGTCACAGTGAGGAGCCGGAGAGAGCCGGCAGATGCTCCTGTTAGATCCTGTTCAAATCTTTCACTGCCATGACACGTTTCAAGGTGTCCAAGCATTAGAGCATTTAGTGTAATCGATTCTCTGTTCCATGTCATGTACTTTGCTCCCAACCTCAACAGCATTTGATCAACTGCCTCCTGCTCAGGCTCACGTTCTTCTTGTTTTCGTTTTTTACGTGTAACGCACACAGCAGAGCAATCAGCACTTTTAAATCTGATTAGCAAATTGAATCCTGACTTACAACATGCAGAGCTGCTTTTACTGCATAAAAGACGTCCTTTGACAACGGTACCAGCACAGGAAATGTTGTTTTATTGCATTAGAAGTGCTGTTGGATGGAACGCTTTAATTGTATGAACGAAAAAGGCATTGAAAAAAAATATGTGATTAAGCCAACGGTTGCCTTTAAAATGTCAAGAGAAAGCAAGAAATCAAAGCCTGTCAGCGACCGGTAAAAAGCTGGGAGAAGCATTCCTATACATTACCTACATGAATAAAACATTACCGTCTCGTAAGATACCAATTGAGCTTCTTGTGTGCCTGTTTTTTCCAGTGTGCTTGACGGCCTAATCACAACCTGTAATTTAGAGACAACACATTAGTCTGTTCTTCAAGCACGGGCCCATCATGAGACTAGCAGACATCTCCTTGTGGTCGGGCCAAAACTGTGGTGGTCAGCAGATACTCTGGCAAGTTCAAAGAAAAATCCCGAAAGAGTCAGAATGTCATTACTTTGGATGATAAATGCTGGTAGTTTTGAAGCGGCTGGAGATGGTAATTCATACTCCTGTCAGCCAATACAAAGGGGATGTCAGGGGGAACAATAACATGAAGGACTCAAGTCTCCTATTGCAGTTTCCAATGAAACCAACCATGCAGTCTTCTCAAACCGGCCACGGTCTAAACCCAGACACTGTTCTAAATGATCTACCGAAGCCAAGTTTTACAGAGAAATATGACTGTTTCTGTGTCATTCTTTCTTAAAAGTTCAGGCTGTTGTTCACCAGGTTTTCCCATTATCGAGATCTCTGGCGTCTGATATCTTCATCTATGCTGAACAGCACGTTGGACTTGTGGTAAGGGATGAACATCTCCTTTAGGGGTTGCACGGTGGATCAGTGAGCAGCTCCGCATGCCACGCACTCTAAATGCGGTCGAACTCGGCTCACGATGTGCGTTCCATCGCTCCTTCTCATCACTCCACATTATGCTGCCCAATAACGCAGACATCATAGGAAATGACCACAGCTAGAAGAAAGGTGCAGACGCCAATCTCGCGTGGAGCCACAAATTGCTGCGATTTCCAAACAAGTACGAAAAATCTTTTAAGATAGATTACGATCACAGTGTTTGAGGACGGTTTATGCAGTATCAAAAACAAATACTGTGAAGCGCAGCTCCACGCCGCAAATATCATCTTTCTCTGTTTCCAAAGTCAAGAGTATAATTAACCATTAATCATCTTTGCTCTTTTAAAGATCCATAACACACTTTAAAGCCTTGAATATTACATTACCTCATAGCGTAACTTCATTTTTAGAAACAAAACTACTTGATTGGGTTCAAGAGAAGGTTGTGTTTCTGGGTAAAATAAGTATGTTTGCAGCGCTGCAAGGGGAAATAAGTCAATAAGTTGATCTTACACGGGACACAAACACTTCGTTACGCTGACACTAGGGATCTCTGGTGAATACAGAACACTTGAAATGTTACTAGAATAGGTGGCCGGACCCATTGACATGTGAACTGAATGGAGACTGGAGCCTGATTGGTCAATGACGCTCAAATAAACTGCTTTTGTAAATCCTTCAAATGCTTCTGTAAGACAAATCACTAGCTAGAGTTTGAAACAGATCAGAGCTTCTGTGTTAGTTACTCATACAATGTGCAGCACACAGAGATCTGTCCAAACGACAACACAGACTTTCTAACCTCAACAGAGTACAGAGTTTACACCTGAACCAATGTCCTGTTCTTTTTAGTCCTTCCCTTCTTCAAATCATGCAAAAACAAAGATGCTGCAGTTTAATCCAAGAACAAAATAACAATTCCAATCTGCAAAAGGACTTGAGTCATTTCATTCAATCAGATCTCATTTGCATTTGAACTAAAACATCTTGCAGCTGTTTCACAACTTTGATTTTTGTTATTTTGGGGGACAGAGCTGTGGATGAGCTACACAGCTGGCAGGATAATTACATACATACAGCACGCACTAAAGAGCAATGTAATAGAGGGTCGTTATCCCAGCTATCTCTGCTGTCTATTGTCTCCTCAGCCTTTTCTCCACCATAACGTCCCTGCCTGACCACAGACCCTGTGTAGCCAAACCTGACCAGGACATAAACTACAGCAGCTATGAGACCCAGTTTGTTTTTCTCATGCTTAGTCTGTGAGCGGTACTATTTTTGAATGACCAGAACTTGGAGCACTAGTGTTTCTATGAAATAAATCTCAGTGAACAATGGCCGGAGCTGTTATAACAATCCAGGAAACCCGGTCCAATGCAGTTAACACGCTGTGAGATAACTTCTGTGCTTTATTACTATTGCGCTTTGGATATAGCACCAGCCAAATCTCTATTGAAAACATGTGAGCCAAGAGAAAATAAAAGGGAATAATCTGATGGTTGTGAGTATTATCATTCCTCTTTTATATTGTCAGTGGCAGAAGACAACGTGTTCAGGGTTTCCTTCTGTCAACCCTTCTAATGAATGTTACTATCAAAACAACAAGTGTGTAACTCAGTTTCCCTCCAGGATATATTAAATACATGTATCTAGTAAATGGGAGGCCAGAGGGTGAGACTCTTAAAGGGAGCTGTCGGTGAAAATCAAACCACTCCGTCCAACCGTCCCTTTCCAAATGTGCTTGAGAACGTTGGTGACCTTCAGGTAACATAAACCCTCTCTAGAGGCAGCGTTTGGGTTGTCCATCCGTAGAAACATACTGGGCTTTTTCAAGGGATAATACTAACTGGTCATTTAAAGTACATCTTTGCTCCTTTCTATGGTTTTCAAATGTAAAAGATGCATAGAAAAGTGGTCAGTAGTTTTGTCATATAAGCCTCATGTCTCATTTCCAGCTCCACTTCTGTAGAATGCAAGCACAGGTGTACAAGTAAAGTTCCAAGACACAGTTTACTTGACTGTACAGCAGCATTTTACCACAGCGACAAACATTTGGGAGGTCTGTTGTTTTCCCTTGTTGCCCTGTCATCATGTTGGTGGTGGACGTGTCGTAGCTCTAGCAGAGTCGACTAAGTGCTAGCAGGTGCCCACTCCCATGCAGACTCTACCGTGCCTGCGAACACGCAGGGCGAGTAGAGATACAACCTTTTTGCTTTACAGGGAAATTGGCGTAATTAACGGTGTGCTGGGACTCCGCCTGGGAACAGTAGGCCTTCAGCAACGGGAACCTTTTGGCTCCCAGGATCCCTTTTCACACCGTAGCAGACAGCACAGTTCCATCGTCATGGAAAGCATGTTGATTAGCCAGCGGATGCAGGCTCCAGTTACAGAAATGGTAAGAATTTAGTTAATTATTAGGATTGTGGCTGGAAATGATGTCACTCCACCCAGACTATAGTGTGGTACTTGGTGCAGGCCAACTGCCCTGATTGGCTGTTTAGGCTCCTGCAGCTTTATAAACCCTTCTCAAAGAAAGAATGGGGGAATATGGTCGATAGCGCATGTGCATTACTTGCTGAAATATGTGCTTTTAAATGTGCAATGACAATTACTTTTGCATCATGTCAAACCCAGCGTATAACATTTTGAGAGAGAAAAATCCCCAAAGAGGAGAGGATTTCACATTACATACACTCGGTCCAAGAAATACTGCGGTGAAATATCTGCATGATAATATTCTATTTATTTGGAGGGCTGAGGTTTTGTGGCGAAACAATCAAGCAGACGTCTCTATTTTCCAACTAATGCGCTGTGATCTAATGACAAGCCACAGCGAGAGGGGCTGAGGAGGGAATAATCACATAAAGCTATTAAACATATCGTAACCAAAGTGCAAAAATAACTGATTAACAGCCATTAGGACAAACTGCAGTTGTTGGATGAGGATCTATTGGAACGTACACATTAAAGCATCATTTAGTGTGTATTTTGTGTCGCTGTTGCTAAATGATAGACTTGCGTTACTTAATGCGTTTGTAGAAGCGTTGAAATAACACATGCAGATTTCCTTCAGGACGAAGACCATTATTCCAGCCATGATTTGACCACCAACAAGTTAAAGCTGACTCTACTCCATGTATTTTATCCTTTTTGCAGGGTGCAGACTGCTACCCTTCTGATGGAGGGTGTTGCCGGCTGTTTCTATTAAGCTTTACCTTTTCACATCCATGCAATCTGCTGCAGTTCCGCCTTACAACGTGCCACAGTGACAAGGGAGGTTAAAACGGTGAGAACTGGCATCAACCAGAACGAGCAGGATGTGTTGCCACAAGGGATCGAAACCCTGGTTGGTCCGGAACACCTGCAACTCTACAAACCGTCAGCTGTGTCACACTGAAAGGATACTGATCTCATTATCACGTTGCGTCATCATCTCCTTTAGTTTGGTCATTTCTGCTGCAGAGCAGGGGCTGTTTTGAATCACTGCCACTGTGTTGCCTGGCGATGCTTCCCCATCACTGTGTCTATTTCCGGCACTTTGCTTGCCCATGATCATTATCTGTACAAAGAACAGAAAGGAAAGATTCTTCACCTTTAATGGAAGGGTCAGACAAGGGCTTCTTTTTCGGGGACATGGACATAATCTGGACATAATCTGGTTAATGCATTCCATCATATGGTACAGGTCACAGCTATGCAATGGTATGCCTTTAAACCGGTGTAAAAATGCCATACCTTGACTACAATGCAAGGCAGCGGGCTTCCATGACTTCATTATATTCTGTAGAAAAAGCAGCCTGCTAATGCCATGGATGTGAACAAGCTTGAAAAAAACCTTTTGGTATCTTCCTGGAAAGTGAGTCCTCAACCGAAAATAAATGTAGCCTCTTTTCCCGATCTGTAATATACGGTACTAGTCAAAAGTTTGGACACACTTTATCAAGGAAGGGTCCAAACTTTTGATGGAGTAGGGCTTTCCCCAATTGGAAAGTGAGGGTTCAGAGGGCGAATGTAAGCTTCTTCAGTGCGCCTGTATGCAGTGGGTCGAACAAACAGAGCTTAGTAAATCACAAGGACAAACTGCACACTTTAGCTTTCAGCACGGCACGAGCAGAGCATAAAAGACAAAAAGAAAGACTCAAATCCAAACCAGATCCAAACTGTGGAGAGCGAGTGGGGTGATGCTCGGAGGAATGTAAACTGAACACGAGATAGAGTTTGTGGATCATAACAAACTTAAGGAATGATATACAGAACCCGGAGTGGGATCTGGAAGTGCTTCTGGTGGCCTGATGTGCTCCAACGCAGGAACGGTCTAATCCCCGCGCTCATTCATTATCAGCGGGCCAGTGGCCGCTGTTTGACTAATGCTGAATGCACTCTTTCTCCAAAACAAAAAGGCTTCAACAGTTTATGTTTCCTACCAACATTTGGCATTGCAACGTGCAATTCCAAACTTCTTCCAATGCAGTCTGACTAACAAACTGTCAGTTGATTGGGAAAAGAGCCAAAACCAGGAAAAAAGAAGAAAAAAAAGGCGGATTCTTTAGAAAGAATGAATCAAGCAGGATTTAAAACATTAGCTATTATAACACATTGTATTACACTATGTGTGTGTGATAGATGGGAATAATTGTACTGACCCACTCATTAACGTGTCCCGCACGAGCTTACTTTCTGCTACTATGAGTGCTCTCATTATTAAATAGGTCAACGACTTGGTCCTCGGAGTCAGCAGGAGCGTCCTTATGAGAGCAGCCTGGGCTCGGCCTGATGACTAATGCTTCCTTGTTCCTATGAACAGGATGGGCTACCTGCCTAATATGGTTTTATCCGCTCTCTAGTTCCGGTGCAAATTTCCTTATCAGCTGAGTTAAGGAAAGAGGTTTTATACATATTTATAAATAATAATAATGCAAATTATAAGTTGTAATATACAAGCAAACTAGGACGTTTGTTGAGACTGAAACAATCAAAATATAATTTTAAAAATCTTGCAGACTTGTTTTTACACATGCACGTGTATCATAAATATATATCATAAATGCAACTTGTGTGCAGTAGATTGCAAAAGATTTCACCTGTGGATGTGAACTGTGAAGTGTCCGACACATTAGAGCAGTCGAGATCTCACTTCGATCTACATTCTTACATTAAAGGGGTTTGTTATAAAACCTTTTGTAATTACATTCAGTTACAAGGGACGGATATAATCAGCTCGATGCCAAACATGAACCTGGATAGCAACAACTACCTCTGGGAGAGTAAATGGGCAACAACACTCATTCATAATACTACCTTTGAACAGAAATACTGCATATTTTGTTCTTTGGTATGTCTCGGCTTAGTTTTCATAGCTGGCCTGCCAATTCTTAAGCCCTGGCATTGGCAATTGCATGTCACATTACACCTTGCTTCTAATTAGATGGCAAAGACCATTTGAAAAACAAAGTGTCTAGACTTAAGGCGAGTCATGGGAAATTCAACGGCACAAAGAACCTTTGAATATTTTCACTTTCTAGCCTCCTGAAAAAAAGCATTTGATTTATAGTTACAGTGTATAGTTAGGCATGAAAATAAGATCATTTGAGTCATGATCTTATTCTATGAAGATAAAGTGAACCTATTCTGCCTGTGCTAATTGATACGGTAAGCATAAGCAGGGAGAAAGGACATTTAAATAAATTGAAAAGTGACAGTCGGGGGAGCTGTATGGAGAAGCTGATTGGTCAGCTTGTCACTGCTGAGCTGATGGATGTGCAGAGATCCGTTATGATACCTCACTGATCACACACTGCTACAGTAAAGATAGACACCCAGCACAATACTAACCAACAGGAGCCAAACATTCATTTCAATGAACTTGCATGGCAAACCTGACAGAAGATATATTCATGAACTGGAGGAGGAAGACAAACACCAAGACATGCAGGTTGTGCGAATGTACCTTCAGCAGGGAGAAACAGTGCTGGATTTTTCTCATGTCCGGTCCCATAGAAAGGGTGACGTCGGGATCAGGGTCCTCGAGGAAGGCCTTGACGAGCACTTCCAACCTAAACACATGGACACACACACACGCAGATGCTCCTGAATAACCAACTCACGCTCGGTGCAACATTCCATATTATATCCCTCTTCATCACACTTAACTTGGGCTCAGCAGCTACTCGATGTTTAAAATGTGGCTCTGGTCAAAAGAGAACTATTTACTTAAACATGTTTCAGTTCCACTAGGCCGGAGTATTGATGAAGTGCCGCTGGATGACAATCCAAACATCGGTTATCTGAAACAGGCTAACAGTTCCTCCAAGTCCTCCATGCAACCTGTGGCCTGAACTGGGTCCCTCGGCCATTAAAGCAAAGGAGCAAACGCCATGCAAGGCCTCAGTGAATGAGGCTTCATCTTGAGCAGCATAAGTTATGTAGGGACTTGAGGTAAACCCAAAGCACTTATAAATCATGAAACATTGGCTCAAGAATCTCCTGGCCTTTGAGCACTACAAATACAAATGATATGCTCTCAGGCGCATTGTGAACATTCTAGAAGGCTGACGAGACCATCGAAGTGCTTTCAGACATACCTGAGGAGAAGGAGGATAGATCGCTTAGAGGGAGAAAGAGACAAACTGATCATGCTAGCTTTACAGATAAAAACATGTATCCTTGGATTTTTAAATAGTAGCCTTGCACAGCCTGCTGTTGCTGTTACTTTGCATTAGTTTGGCTGTAAGGTTACTCAATAGTCATACATCGGCCATATAGGCCAGGTCTGTTGCATATATGCCCCCATCCCTCTGCATGCCTGGATCGTCACAGCCGTATTATCTAGGTGATGCACAGACACTGGCTGGATTGTAGAGATGAAGAATCAGAGAGCAGGAGGAGGTGACATACCTCTGGATCTCCTCCCCAGTGAGCTGCTCATCTCTCTGTTCTCCTGTCAACATGGCCAGCTCTTCCTTCAGAGACTGGATCTCCCTCTTCAAACGGGCTATCAGCTGAAATACATTCACAAAAAAGCAGGGATATTTGTGCTGATGCACACACACACACACTAACAATGTGAAGCACATTTGGGCCCTACACTACATGCAAAGACAGAGGCTGTTTTGCCTTATCGGCTTATCTTCCGATGCCTTTTAAGGACAAGCTTAAGTGATTCCAGACAACTGGAAGCTCCAACGCAGGAAGCATAACATACATTATCATTAGTTAGTAACAACTGTCTGGGTCTGGTTATTATATATGTATATATATATATATATATATATATGTATATATATATGTATGTATATGTATATATATATATATATATATATGTATATATATGTATATATATATATACATACATACACATATATATTTATTTAACAAATAAATAAATATAACTGAGTACAGACATTGTGTCGATCAATGTAAAAAAGAAAGAAAAGTAAAACAGGATTAGAGGAGAGACGATGTGACAGGACCAGGACATTGTTTTAAATAACAGCATTATTCTTCTGATTAATGCTGACAGCCACATGTTTTCTAATCTTTGTACCCAGGCATTCTCCACCTGCTGAGCACATCTAGGCCACAGACTGCCATGCAAGTTTAACACACTATAAGTAAAGAATATCGATTTGAAAAAAGAGAAACAGAGAATCCCTCAAATCCAGATGTGTCCTTGCTGCAGCCTTGTTGACACAGTAACCTTTGGTCTTTGGAAATAAGCCGTTGGCGCTCTGGTTATCCTTGCTGAAAGGGTTCATGCCTACAGAGGTCAGTCTAAATAGCCTTGTGTAAGTCTAGGCTGGGAATAGCAGGCATCTAGCTCAGTTCAGTGAGTTCAGCTGAGAGCTTAAGTTACATGTATGTAAGAATGGATTCTGATAAGTTGTTCTTGTGTAGTGGCTGTCTTAGCCTTCAGTTAAGGTACCCGCGGCTCAAAATAAGCAGTGAGGGACTAAAGTGTACCTTGATTGGTCACATGGCAAGCTCTCAGTTCACAGCACAATACGTCTCACATATTGAATTCCTTGTTGTTTGTCCAAATCCTAAATCTCCTGGTCCACAGCAGGAGCAACAGGTCAGAGGTGAGCCCGCTTGACATGTGCCCTTATTTTGAAGCTGAGCAGTGTGCCGTTACTTGAACTTGAGGCGTTATGATTAAATGTGAAAGGGGACTAATTAGCCCGATACAACCTATGGCTTGATTCTTCTGCAGCTAGTATGAGATGCCAATTTGTTTATTTGTCATGTCTCCAGGAAAAGGGGAATAAGTGTAATAAGAGGATGACATTTCTATATTATATTCAAACGCATATGCAAAATAACATGATAAGGGAAAGAAAAGGGAAGAAAAAGAGAACAGCAAAATCAATGCATGGTTCAATTATTGAAACAAGGTCCGACCAGGTGCATTCTAATTGTGCAAAAATCTCACGATAAAAGAGTGAAATCACTAGAAAAAAAGCTGCCCTTTGTGCTTTTTCTCACATGAGCCACTTCAGTATGAATCCCACTTAACTATCCCTGCTGAATTTGACCACACTGCAAGATACTAAAGAGAGCAAATACAACACAAAGTGGTGACTCCTGACACAGAGTTGTCAGGGAGCCAGGATGTTCAGTGCACACTTAAATCAAGGTCAAAAGGTCAGACTGAGTCGTCCATTTCAGCAGAGAGTTGCCCCTCCCAGCAAACACATCTTTCGACTGGGAAGTCTCAAGCAGTCAGACATTGTCAACTGAAGATGCTCTTGACAAGACACCGTTTTGGGTAGGTGCTACTTAGCTTCACCAATATTTCACTCCAAATCCACTCCATATAATATTTCTTAAAACATCCCTCATCAGAGCCGCTCCCTGCATTTCCTGTTTGGGGCAGTGGGTCTGATGTAATTCTCCGAGATGCCTTCTGAAATGCTGACCGCCAGTTGTTGGTTAGCTGAAGTCTATTTCAGACTGCTGTGCCCACAGCGGCACCACAGACAGCTATGTGCCATGCGACTGATGATACCAGCATGTCCTACGGAAACCCAAGTTGGTGCAACGTGAAACAAGCAGCACTGCATGCTTCTCTGCATCACCGTCTAAGTGCTGAAACAAACGTGCCATATACTGTACTTGACCATGGTTAGTCCCTGCTTCTAGTCCGTCAGATCTAACATTCAGCCCACGCAAAAATATGATGACATTTTGTGAAAAGAGAATAAAATGATTCCATGGAAAGGCAGGCATAAAGATGTAGAAGATGTGTTTGGAGGATAAATCCAGGATTCAGACAAAAAAAGATAGATATAGAAGCTCAAGTCTAAATCACAGTGTAAAAGTGAATCATATCCCCCGTCAAAGGTCTTTTAAGGCACAAGATTTTCCTGCACCAATGTGAGGGTCCTGAGACAGGATGTCGCAAGCCCTGTGAGGCAAATAATGGGGATTGAAAAAATATATATAACTGAACCTCAGGATTGACACCAAAGACAGTAAAATCAAGAAACAAAGCCGTGTCTTTATTCACCGGTGCGATCAACACAAAAAAGCACCTGTAGACATTCAGTATACCTGTTTTTCTAAGTTACTGCCCCCTACACCTGGGGTCTTATATCCACAACACAACATGATGACACATGGGCTGGGTCCTAAGCAGGGCACAATTCTTTTTAGGCACTTTGGACTAAGGCAGGGGGCATTTCACTGAACCACACACCACTACAATTACAAATTCTCCTGTCCTAACAAAGGGACCATGGGAAAACAGCCACTACTCAGGAATTTTCACAGGGGCTTCCTCAAACATGTCTCTCTGGTGGGTTGTGAGCAGGGTTCTGTTTGACTAACAAGTATGCGATAATAGAAGAGAAAGTCCAGGTTTAGGGGGGGACCCAGCCTTCTATCACTCTGTGCTTAGCTGCAGAACACCCTTTTTTCACCCTTTAAGAATGACATAGACATCCACAATGCTGAAGCATGGAATAGATGATTACTTGACAATTTCCTCTTCCGCTATACCGGGATCAGCCTGGCCTAAATGATGATTGAGACTGACCTTGTGCTCTTAGAGAACAACATACCCAACCTTATATGGTGAGCTCCCTCTGGCTGACTTCATTATGATCACAGGTCACTTTCAACACCTCATTCTTACCCTGTCTATTAGAGACGCTTGCAATGTTGTGTCTGGTCTGGCTGGTTTCCTGCTTTTCAGGCCTTGAATAAGTGCATTCTGGAGCCTGTAGGCTACAGTACCATTACAGCACAGCTACCATTGAGGCCTGAGTGATGTACCAAACATGGACTGCGACAAACCTCCAGGTGTCAAATCAATTACTGCAGCCAGCGTGTCCATTAAACGGTGTCACTTTGGATGAGGACAGGCAAGAAATGTGAGTGTCACCCCCAAACCACAACAAATTACATCATTCTAAACTGAAAACTGCACTGCTGGCTTGATTTTTTTTCTCAGTAAACCATGCAGAGAGAAAGAGGGAGAGACACAGAGACTGGCGCAGCGGACAAAATAAGAGACATACTAAAAAGACATGACTGGAGACAAGAAATTTGCCCGCGGAGGTTTGGGTTTGCCTGGAGCTGAAACAGTTCCCGACCCGAGTGGGAGCAGCCAGACACTGTCACAATTACTGTGCCCGGGCCGCAGACTCTCTTTAAAATACCTCTGTAGAGTTCGCAAGTGGCCAGCCAAGTCTCCCTAGCAGTAATACAGTAGCAGTTGGTCCTCAGGCAGATCTTGCTGGGAGGGGAGGAAGCAAATGTAGCTGTGTACACTTACTACTGTATATCCCAGAGGGGCCTTTATAACAGCTACCGGGTCTGCTTCCTGGCATACTACAGTACAGGAGGGTGTGAGTGTTGTAAAGGGGGAACGCGAAGAGGGGAAAGCATCGTCAACGGCCTGACGTCTTATCCCTCGTTATATAACACAAACCAAAAAAGACATGTGTGCTTAAAAAAATGCAGAGAACTCCGTTACAAACATACTGTATGTGTGAGCAATTCATGACATCTTCTCACAAAAACTTTCTCTGCTTTCAATCTCCTTCTGCAGCTCACCACAATGAAGCACGTATTCACAGTATAACTGCTAAACAAAATGACAAGAAGCTAAACAAGCGGCCTGCTCTCAACATTGTGCAATTTGTGCCTGATTGTATGCAAAGATCCTTACACATACCAGTCTCCAGCTGGGGGCCTTCCCAACTGGATGTCATTTAGTGGGTTAAAGATATGGCGTGACAGGATTAGAGGCATGTAGACGAAGCCGAGAGAGAATGAAAACAGCCTGTGAGCACTCTAAACAACACAGACAGATGGGCCTCCATGTAGTGACAGAGGAAAACTGCCGCTTTCACCATGACATGTGTCACTAGAAGAACTAATTTGGCCGTAAACCTAAGGAGGGCACTCGGTGGGTTACGTCTTGAAGCTAGATTCTGGAAGGTACGGGCCGGGTTTGGTCATGGTGAAGCAGCGCTCTGTGGTGCCATTGTGTGGCCAAGCAGTGGGATTTGTAGTCACTCACCAGGGCAGGATCCAGTTCTTCATTCAGCATCGCCTCATTCTTGATGAGAGCCACACGCTGAGCAAAGCGGCATGTGGAGATGGACTCCTGTGGAACCATTTCAAACAGAGGTTTCCATGTTTACTGTTGTGCCTGAGGAACAATATCACTGCTGACGAATTCATCTGGTACATTTTATTCAAGTGAACGCATGCAAGGACTCAATAAAGATAACAATACGTAGTACTGTTATTGAGTCAACACCCAGAGAATTGTACATATTTGTGTAGATGAAAATAAATAAGATAACCTCTGAGATTTAAGCAGTAAATGTATGTTTAGCTCTTCCCACCAGACATATCTGAATGCAAGGGCTGAATGCATTTACCAGAAATGACATTTCAGAATATGGGTGAGGAGTTTGAAACAAGAGAGGCTGTTTGGTGCGATGACAAAAAGATCAACATCTCTGAATAGTACCTGCTTTGCCTACTGCGTATTTTGAAATGTTTCATTTGTTTATAACTCACTGGCCCCAATACACCTTTGTAGAATGCAGGTGCTCTTTCGGGGTAGAATTTAAAATGATTTCACTCATAAACCATGTTTCTCTAAACTATTATTTAGCAATCTTCGAGAATAGTCCGTCTGAACAAGGCCTTACATCAAGGTTCCTCTTGTCCACTGCTATGGTGGCAATCATGGTGGTCATGCAGTTGCCCCCGAGGCTGTCCCTCAGCACAGAAGTCAACATGGAGTTCCTGTAGGGGATATGGGAGCGGCTCTTCTCGGACAAAGCAATGATCACCTGAAGAAAACAGCAGTGGAAAGGGCTGATTGGTACAGACGGAGATGGAGGGTTACTCCATTCATTGCCGAAGTGATTATACCAGACCATGCAAGTCTCACAAAAAATAGAACGTATGGCAATCCAAACTAAGTAACCACAGACAGTTAAATTGATTTCTTCTCCTGCGGAAATAATTAAACTTCCCATTCATTAAATTTAGCAAATAAGATACATTTCTCATTTGGATTACAGAAATCTTTGCCTAATATAACATTTCATATGAAAAAAACGCCTACCTGCTCCAAGTAGTGGAGGGAGAGGTTGATGTACTTTGCTTCAGTGAGCAACTGCCCGGTCAAGCCAGTCTTGCTAACTCTATCCGATCCGGCCAGGTCCACCAGGTGGAGCTTGGAGCGCCGCAGGGTGGCCGAGCCCGGCTCACGTCTGCACACGTGCACAGTGAAAATACAATGGGAGCGCGTGGAGGCCTGGTTCATCGGAGTCTGGAGGAATGAGAAGAGAGACCATTTTTAATAAACTGCGAAATTCCACGGTCTGCATGGGAGTATACTCAAACCTCTAAAAATGCTCCATCTGCCCTACTTTCCATGTGGAAACAACAAGAAACATGTTTCTGATGATTCTTATTTTTTTCTTGCTGCCACTGGTTTGAAGATCAAAGCCACAGCATGTTTAACCCAAGAGGAGTAAACACATGGTGGCAGCTTTACAAGAAATGCGGTTGTTTTTCAGATGGTCACTGGAACAGCAGCAGTCAGGTTGAGACAGAAATAGAGTGGGAGTCACTCGGCACAAACAAGCTTTATTAACTTGAGGAGGATGGTTACTCACGGGGTCCTTGATAACAGAGGAAATGGATACTCTCTGAAATAGTGCTGATCATCGGTCTTCTGCTAGGCAGCTATGACACATGGTGGTGGATTGGAACAACAGATGTAATTAAAACAAAAAAGTGTTGTCCGGCTTATACAGCACATCTCTTTTCCTTCTTTTGATTGGCCATTGGCCAAAGATATGGTTATGACTTTTTTTTTTCTCTCTGCTCGAATTAACATCATCATTTACGTACCAGGTCGTTCTAAAAAGGTGCTCTGACCCCGACTGGTTGTTGCCGTAAATGTGCCAACACCTGCCTGTCAGGGTCGTGGCAGCTCACAACAGATCTTTCACCATCTTAACCCACCTCTGTCTGCTCTTTCCTCAAAAATCACTCTGCACAAGTCCAAGTGTACTGCTCAGGGAATCCCTTAATGTCAAACAGGCCTTGAGATGTTGAAGGGATAACATACCTAATATGGAAAAGGTCATGGATAACGATAGAACACCCCTTCTGAAAAATCTGCACTACCGGCTAACCAAACCAATACTGGCAATCCTTCATGAGTTAACCTAACCAGCCAGAGGCTTTTCTTTAGTCATTGGTTTAAACTCTTCTGGGTCTGGGCTCTTTAAAAAAATGTGGGTCATGTGATTGTATGATCTGTCAATCAATCTGTTTTTGCCCAAGGCCAGTAGTGAAGAGTAAACACAAGGTCACCGTTCCGCAACTTCAGACATCATAAAGAGTCCGCTGAGCCTTCTGCCGCCATTGAACGGAAGTGGCCATATTTGAACTGTAGACGAATGGCGCCATATATGGGTTTTGTAGCGTTAAACTGTCAATCATTGGGTAGCCCCGCCCTGCTTTACAATTTATTTGACCCCCTGCTGGCCCCTGCAGGTTGAAGACACTTCCACATTAGCTGGAGGTTGCCACCTGAATAAGACATATTAGTTCAGTATTTCTCAAATAGGGGTACAATGCCACAATTATACTATAAAACTTCATCCAAGATGACCATGTGATTGAGCCAAAACCTCTCTAAAACCATTTCAACAAAAGCTGAACCTTATAACACTCACGATGGTAGGATTTATTCCAGTTTCTGCTGAGTGTGTCATATGCAGTTAGCGAATGTCCTACAGTGGAAAATGAAAGCAGCACCAATGGATGACAGTTAAAAGTACTCTAAAATTAGCTCTTATCTCGGTGTCCATGGATGACTGGTAAGCTTTGACGTCTGTGAATTGTGCGCGTTAATTTTGATATCACCAGATATTATACAAACGGGTCTTTAGTAGTCCTAAAAAGAAGAATAAAATAGTGTGAGTGAGCACATCGACCACAGTGCGTCTGTCCAAATGGTCTGCAGAGTATCGTGTCCGGGACATTTAGGTATGTCTTATAAAATTTAAAAATTTAAAAAGACGGCGGGACATTTCAACCTTGTTGAAGTCATTCCTGTATTCCCTTCTCTTCTCATTTTGATTGTTGATTCAAAAGATTAAATGTGAGGTTTTATTTAGACCTTTCCCTGCACTGTACAAGTTCAGCAGGGATTTAGGATGTAGGAAAAGGAAATGATCCAGGCCCACATGTTAAACAGGGACAGAGAGCAGAGGAGTAGATGAGAGGAAATGTTTCCTGGTGAGGGTCAGGGTGAGGAGTTTAGAAAGTGTAGTTTATTTCCTGTCCAAAAAAAGGACAGCAGAAGGGATTGCCTAGTCTCAAAGTGAGTGAGTTCATGGTCTGCTTAGCGCAGCTTCAGTGGATGTGTCATCTTTTATCCACATGGTTGGGCGAGAGAAGAAAGAAAGCACAAGTGTTAACTTCATTCCAAGTCTCTGTGGAGCATGGACTTTAGGGATGACTCTGGCGGTAATAAATTGACTTGGTTGAAGAAGTCCCAGAGAGTAGGGATGAATTCACAAGAGCGTTGGTGTGGGTGGACTGTGCTGAACTTTGAGATCCCTCAATTGCCTGATCAACAGAAGAACGTAACATCCAAGAATGTATTTTCCCCCAGGTTTTACAACACTGATGCACAAAAAGAAAGGAGTTATTGTTCCGCCTGGCTTGTGCTACCCCCTAAAACTATCTAACTAAGTTCCAGAGAAATTCCATCGTGGATCCCATAACTATGTCCTTTGGATTGGTTTTGCTCTACGGTTGAACCCTGGCCGCATCCAAAACTGATTTTGGAATACTCGTCAAAATTGAAACTCGATCATGGAGTTCACTTTTACTGTCTGTTATTTACTTACAGCCCAGCAAGGAGAGTAAACAAGGTGAGATCAGCCCTTTTCTCCAAACCTGCGGTTCAAGCAAAGGCTGACCCACCACATGTCATCAGCCCGGGGAGTCCGGTGTCTGAGTGAAGAAAAGAACTACCGCAAAATAAACAGAAATTACAGAGAGAAACCTCAGAAAACCCCAGAAAAACGGGGTAAAAAGGTGCCACGGGGACCACAGTAATACATTTTAGAAGGCTCCTCAGGTACCATTTAGAATGCATATTGAATTTGTGGACTCTTTCTCACCTCTGCAATCATGCGATTGGTGTCACCCAGGAAGAGCAGGTTCAGAGCCTCCTCCTCATTGGCTGACTGCTGCAGGGACAGATTTCTCAGATGGATGTTCTGGTCGGGATCTTCCATGATCAATACCTTTCTGGGGAAGAAAAAAAAAGGTTGTTACAGGAAATTCCAGGTGTAATAAATTCACTTGAAAACAGGACAAATCCGGGCAAAACCTAAATATTACCAACACTGAAGCAATTATGAAAAAAGCAATTATGTCATCAATCCCCGTCCATCGCCTTGGCCTGGCTCTGCTCTGTTCTAAATCTAAACAAACCACATCTGCGCGGGTGAGTGTGGCCCGGGTCCCAGTTTCACACGTGTGCATTATCTTTCCAGGGGTTCAGAACTTGATAACAGACAGACCCTGCAGCTAAAAACAAACAGGTGATTGTTTCTTTCCCACATCAAGCCCCCAGAAGCCCAGTGTGGTTGGACTGAAATGACTCCTATGATCTCACCATATCATTTCCATCACGCCACCGGGGTTGTGACAGTTTGGCTACTGGATGTCAAAGAGGGTGCAATGACTGGAGAACATATGGTGACAATTATGTTAAACATGTATAAGGAATTGCTGTAGCTTGATTAAACAGTATTAATCTTAATGTGATTAAAGGCCTGTGCTTTGGCAGCCCGCTCCCTCAGAAAAGTTTGGATTATTGTATTTTACACAAATGTTATGACTGTTTAGCCTTTGAACAGCGGCAAACGCTAAATGTGTGATGAAAATAATAAACAGATGGAGACAAGAAGAAGTAAAACAAGAACAAAGACAAGTCCAAGAATGTGGGACAGATGAGAAGGAGCAGGCAGGGAACGACAAGGAGAGAGAGATTTGTCCCTGCCACGGCTTCTTCTCGAATCAGCAAGTGTGGCCACAGCATGGTTAACATGGGGCTCTGTCTATTTCCAGAACACTGTTATTTGTGGGTATGTCAACCTTAATCTGGATACACTGCAAAAGGAGGGAAGACAGTTAAATGGAACTGGTACAAGAAACTACAGAGATCACCAGACAATGTACTGAGACGATGTTGTGCCTGAAGGACTAAAGTCTTGAGTATTGAGTTTGACAAAAAAGAAAAAGAAAGGAAAAACACTGACAAACCTCGAGAGAGCTGGCATTTATAATTACAAATAAATGTTTTTTTTTCGGCTGTTAGAGAATGAGCCTAGATTTTCTCTTTTCAGTCTTGAAGTATTTCAAATACTCCACAAGATTTTGACTGTTTTGCCTTTTTCAAATTTGAACCAAATGTCTGTACAGTACCATCAGCGTAGCTACGGAATGAAAAGAACACTGACGGTAGGTCCTCCAGTCGAGATGCTTCATGTCGGGAATCCAGAAGGTCATATCCCATCTCATTGTAGATCTCCAAGTAGGAAATATGTGTGGTGTAAATCATACTGCTGTCCTGTTGAGAATAAAAAATCTTGTGTTTTTGACGTTTGGCAGCAGAGAGAAAAGAGGAATGGCTGAGACAGACAGTAGAGTACACACTGTGTATACATAGAGTATACATTTTTTTCAAACTTGTAAAATGTCAAAGAAATGAAATTCTAACGGGTTGGGAGCCAATTCAACAGGCTACAGCATAGTTTGTCCAGAGGTTGGCCCTATAGGCTACGCATGGCTGTGAGCCGCCAGTAAAAGACGAAATCAGCGTCATGATCATCTGCTGCAGAATAATGGATGTCTGCAGAAACATGTTTCAATTGGGCAAAAGTTGTCAGCTGTTGTTTCATGTCAGCTGGTTGCCAACATTTGAGACATCAGAAACATCTGAGGAGTTGTGAGAGTTAAATGTTTGCTACTTGCTGCTTCTAATGCAATGGTTCAACGATATGCATATACATGTGTGAATGGAAACAGGGTGAATGTGTGTGGCCTCACTGTGCCACTGAAGCTGTTATTCTAAATAAATAAAATGGAAACAAGCCAACCACCTGGGAGAAGCGTTGGAACAGGTAGGAGAGGGTGCGGGGAATAATGCCGCGATCACTGTAGCGCTCGGCCCCTCCTGTGATGGTAAAGGTCTTCCCACTGCCTGTCTGGCCATAGGCAAATATGGTGCCATTGTAACCAGCCAACACACTGCATGCATGCATACACACACAGACACACAGATGTAATACACATTTTTGTTAGTATTGCTTTCTTTTTTGGTTTCATAAATTTGAAAGCATTAGACCTTTAGTTGATATAGATGAGGTGGACTGGAGAGAGAGGTAAAGAGGGAAGGGTGTGACATGCTGGCTGGAATTGAACCCAGAAATATATCTACATACGTTATGATGTTAATTTGCAAGAGTGCAAGGGACAGTCAAGTATATCCCATAGCAGAGAGCAAAAGTCTGAGGGAATTGGATTGGACACTTTAAATCCACAGGAAAGGATGGCAGTGGCAGGAGAACTGTGATGGCGACAGACTGCTCTGCTGGTGAGGGAGGAATGTCTCGGAGTATGAGTAAAGGAAAAAGACCCAAAACCCCACTCAACTAGGCAGGGCCTGTACAGTTTGGGTTTGGCACTGAACTTCCCCTTCTGCACGTGCACATGGAAACAAATGTTGTTGAGCTCTGTTTCAATGAAAGAACGCCCAAAATGGTGGTGGTCAAATGAGGTAGGATACACTTACAACAAAAAATACCACTTGTGTCCTATAGTCCTAGCATATACACCACGAAGAAATTACCAAATGACGTTGAGGTCTCTGACACACAAGCTTGGCTCAAAGGTGAAGATAAGCGGCCTGCTCCCTGACTTGCAACTGCAAGGAAAAGGATAACTTGACCCTATATTTTACATGATAAATCTAATCTAAAGCCTCTCGCTTGTTGTAATGGACTTGCCAACCCAGCATTGACAGTTTGGGTGTTTTCCATCCTGTGTACTGTACGATCCACGCCCTACATGACACTAGTGAGGGGAGAACAAACTGTTTATATATAACACTGCGTCCATTTATGAGAATGGTGGTTAGATGGATGGCCATTGGGCGACCATTTAATGTTAGTGTGAGTAGTGGCCAGTGATTGGCAGCGAGGAGTAAAGGCACAGGCTCCCTTATTTAGTTTAATGTCAGCGCCTACGGCCCGGCCACTGAAGCTTGGGCGTTTCTCAGTGGTCGTCCCGCTTTACACCTAAGCTTCCCTGGGGATTGGTAACTCGTCTCCCAGGGGAGATCCATTTTCTTCTTCTCAATTTATTTTGGGAAGTCCCATCTTGCCTTGTGAAATGGTATTACAACCCAGATGGAAGGTTCTCTTTGCCAGCCCAATAGCATTACTGTGGCAGTTCTTCTACTGGAGCTATTAATCCTGGTTTGTTTTTAAACTGCTTTGAAAAAACTTGATTAGGCTGAAATTGGTTTTGGTTACACCACAGCAGAGACAGAGACTAGTGTGCAAGTACACAGGCTTAAGCTTTCGGCTGAACTTGATATGGGAATGACAGAGTTCTGAGCAAAACAATGACATGACAGTTAATGCTAGTTGAAAGAACCGGCCCCTGCCTGCACAAAAATTAGTTTTAGTCCTTTAACGGCCAAAAGTAGCATGATTCACACTCCACTTTGTTTTGCGATTAGGGGGGGCTTTCTTTTGATTCTGTTTGTGATAATTGTAACCAGATGTGCTTCTGTAACTGGTACCATGTCAATATCAACATGGGTTTCAGAAGCACACCAACTGGGCTTCACGTAGCTTGGTCTACGTCAATCCCAGAGGAAACCTACTTTGGGCGCTTGTACCCGTAACCTAATTCTTTTGGCCATCCTTCATGACCATAGGTGGGGTGGAAACAAAGCTTTGCCATCCGCCTCAGCTCTCTTTTCGTCACAACTATGCAGTAAAGCCAGTGCAATACGGCCCCCACTGCTCCGATTCTCCGGCCAAACTCACACTTCATCTCCCCCTCACTAGTCAACAAGACCCAAAGGTATTTGAACTCCTTATGGACACATTCCCTACCCGGCGTAGGCAATCAAGTGCTTTCTATATCATCTGCAAGAAGCAACAATGAGGTCCGCAGCATCCTGACCTGTAAACCCTCGTCCTCGACTACGCCTCAATACAGTATCCTGTCCATGAATACCAAAATCAGGTTTGGTGACAAGGCGCAGCCCTGGCAAAGGCCAACCCTCACCAGAAAAGACAGGGTGTACAGAGATTGGATGGCCCAAAAATGGCCCCCAGACAAGGCCCCTTGAAGGATCCTTGTGAAAGTAAAGAGCTACCTCTGAGTAGTATGATATCCCTGTAATTGGCGCACCCTCTGGTCCCCTTTTTTGAAGAGAGGTACCACTAGCCAGGGCTGCAACTCCTTAGGCACTATACCAGACTTCCACGCAATGATGAAGAGGTTGTATCATCCAAGACAGCTGCCTTCAGCATCTCTGGAGGGATCTCCTCAATCCCCATTCTTACTGTACATGGCCTGTTTCCCCCTCCCGAGGTGCCGGATCGTTTTCCAGAAGCATCTTGGTGGCGACAAAAAGTCCTTCTCCATAGCTACTCCAACCTCTTCCCACACTCGCTGCACGGCAGAAGCTGCCACTCTTTGGGCCTGTTGGCACACTGCAACATACTCCGGAGTCCCATGGGAGGAACACCTAATTTCCCTTATATCGATAGTACTAACAAAAGACTTATAGTGTTGATTTTCTGTAGGTTACTCTAATGAATGTGATCCTCATGCATGATGAATTAAACAACCGCTCAACATAACTGTGTTGTGGCTTGGAAATGTTCTCACACTCACGATGGCAAAGTGTGCCATCTCGCCCGCCAGCTCGGCCCACTTAGTGGTTTAAGTATGCAAAGCACGCCAAAAATCACAGAAACCCTCCATTTCCATCTTAAAAGAAAGCTGAGCTTTTACCGACTTCCTGTCAACAAAGACACTTAAAGCCTGTGTGTCATGGACAGCTTAGTGTTGCTGAGCATAGGTGGCCAAATATTTTTGAATGGGGTGATCAAAAAGGTGGTAGATTCAAAGGTTCAAAAAGAGTTTCTGAAGAGATTAACTTTCCAGATTTGCAAAGCCTTATTATGAAGTCATATATATATTTGTCATTTTGAGAAGTACAATAAGCTTAAACCTGTCTGCCACTGGTTTGGCAATGTGTGTAAATATCTCTTCTTGTTTCACGGCTTGATCGAAAACCTTTAGGAACCTGTAAAAAAAGTGAAAGGAAAATAAGTTAGAACAGAATATATCTATTGACTAGCATACCACACAGAACGCATATGTTGTTAATCTTGCACATTGAAAACTGCAATAAATAAAGACTGAGCGAGAATTTGGTCACTTTGTTCTCTAAAGCCACCTCAGTCTGTTACTTTTTATCCCACAGAATGATCAGAGCGATGTGAGAGGAGTCCGCCCAGTACGATTTTTAAATGTGGAAACTTTATTTCTATGAGGGCACAAGGGAACCTCTGCAGACTATTACAAGCCTCTGTGGTTTCCGAAAGGCTGTCGGTGTCCGCTGCTGTCCGACTCGCCAACTGTGAATTTAGGGCCTGGAAGCGTGGCACGGGCTCTGCCCCGATGGTGCAGTACATGAGCTTTAAACACATGTTCTGGCTGTGCACGGCTCTTATGCAACTGAGAGTTTGCATTCTGCTGGGCAGCTCACCTCCCATGTTGTATGGTACCTTTTTTTGCCCCGTTTGCAACTTGTGCGCATCCACAGATAGATGCGCGGGGCGCCCCTCTTATATAATGCTAGGGTAGACATTGCATCTATCTACAAGACATGACACTGTACTCGGGTTGATGTGGCGCAGGGGTAGAGAGGGTGCGCCGGGAACCGCAAGCCCCGGCTGCTCCATGTCCCATGTCGAAGTGTCCCTGAGCAAGACACCTAATTGCTCCCCAGGCAAAAATGTTTTAAAAAGCCATGGGTTAAAAATGTAATGTAAGTCCCTTTGGATAAAAGTGTAAGCTAAATGACCTGTAATGTGATGTAATGTAATGTACTCAGCCACCAGTTATATTTCTTAGTGATTTCATTTCTATAAACTGCTTATTTGGTTATAGAAAAACACATACGTTTATGTTTGCGTTGTTTACGTAAAGCCTACGTTAACTTCAAAGACGCCACAAGCTGAATTCACTTCGATCAAATCAGTTTGCCGGTATGGGAAATGAAGCATGAATACAATTAATCTTCAGGGTTGGAATTACTTTTCAGCTCATTAAACACAAAATCTCCATAAAACACCTCTATGAAATCTAGTCCTAACAGATGCAAACACATCACTACCTGAACTTGTAGCACTCCCTCTTGTTGTTAACGAAGCCCTCAGCTTGGTCCCTGGGCACCAGAAACTCCAAAAAAGCCCCCGTCGGCTCATCGTTGTCCACAGAGTAAACCTGAGGGAGCCAGAGACAGTAGCGGAGTTACGCCTCCAGGTGGACACGGCTTACGGACTGCTTCACCATCGCAAGGCAAGGCAGAAGGATTATGACCACAATATTTTGGCAGCAATTTAGAGTAGCCATTGGGATTCATTTGACCCTTTTGAAAATGTTTTCTACTATGGTCTATGACTGTAATGATACCTGGGATGCAGTACATGCATCCCGACGTAAACACCTAAAGGTTATAGGTCAATAATAGCAGTTTGGCCACTTTGTGTGATGCAAGCCCTAAAATGAAATTGTTGGAGTTGATGTATCCTGTGGAAAGCAATAGAACATCATTGTGCAGTGTGTGGGGAAAGCTCTGCAATATCACCTCCGCTCAGTGGGGCCCCAGGGGACTGGAGGAAAGCTGTGGAACATTAAACCAATATAGATTGGGCTCCAGCAGAAGAGGACATTCAAAGCGATGGCCGGCTGGGTCAACCCAGACAACCCCAGCCCTCAGCATGTGTTCTGGCATATGTTTCGGATGGACACAGATGCAATTACTGGTCCCCATGGGGTTTTGGGGATAAAAGATAAAACCTAAATGATTGGATTGTGTTTCACCTCCTCCCTGCTCAGAACCCTAAAAAAACAGAAAGGTCCCCAAGGAGGTAGCTGTGCTCATTTTTGTTTTTGCTGGATATTGTCAAGCTCAAGCTGCAGGTCCACAGACACCCTGAAGTAATTTGATCATTTCTTTCATCAGCTGTTGCTCTCAGACAACAAACAAAGTGATGCACGGGATGTTTGTCATTGATATTAGGTTTTTTCTGACGCGTATCCAATATAGAGGCCACTTATCTAATAGTAGGTGAACACGTTTATGGATGTGTGTGGAAAAATACATTTAAATGAAAAAGATCAGAAGTTTGGTTGATAAGTAAATTAAGGAATCGGATTCTGGCGTGACATGGTTTAAATAATACCGATTTATAGGTGGATAAAACCTGCATTGGGAAAATGGGCTTCTTTAGCTGCTGAATACTTCCAGGGCCATGGTGCTGGGTAGTGAATCACCTAGAGTCTGAATGATTTATGGGGAGGCTGAATTATCCCTCTATATATCAAATAAATATAAGGTAATGATATCATTACCTGTCATTAGTTACACCTGTGCGTTCCCTGCTAGGTAACGTTGTGTTGTGAAAAAAGTTGTACAACCTGAGTGGTACAGTGTCCGGACAGGTGTGTTTATACCGGGTCAAAGCTGCCTTTTTGTGGTTAAAAAGACGTTCTGACCCGGGATTAGAGTTAAACCAGCGCGCTTCGCGGTTGGAGAAGCGCTCGGTGACACAGCGCCAACATTAGCTTACGTTAGCTTTAATAAACCTAACCAGCACTCGCGTTGTAACGTTACATTGCTTTTTATTTTAATGTTGTTTCAGTTGTCCACTTACCGCTGTAGTTTTCTTAGAGGGTTTAATGCGGCTAAATATCTGTATCGTTTGTTTCACCATTTCCCCCCCTTGAAAAAAAGGAAAGTGTTCAACTTTTGGTTACAAGTTGCTGGTTAGCTCGCAGGCTAACGACGGCGCTGCGCCTCCTCTCGTTGCTAGGCGACGGCGGTCCACTGCGGCTGACAAAGATCGTCTACGTTTCTGAAGATGATCCATTGGTGTGAAACAATCGTTTCATCTAGCCCGCTCAGGCTGGTTGTTATCCCTGATGGCTGATGGCCTGAGCAAGTTCAGATAAATCCTGCCAGGAATGTGTGTAGGGGGGCGCACGGGAATCACATTGAAGAAGCTGTTGGGTTAAAAAAAATCAAACAGGGATGCATAAATGCTGTGTTTTCTTTTGATGTTGATTATTCTCTGAGCATGTGTTTTGTGTATTCAAGTCAGAAGGTCACTGCAGGTTCAGTGACCCACACAGTGACAAAGGTGTTTTCGGCCCATGATGGACGAGACAGTCATGGATATACCATCAAATAGGACATTTAGCAATGGTTACCACCTGCTGTGTCTTAAGATCCCATAGATGCTGCATTAAAAACCCGTTAAGATTCTGGAGTTGAAAGAGTAGAAAAACCGGAGTGTTCAAGTTAGAGTTAGAGGACGATTAGACTGCAGTAATCTGCCTGTGTATTGATCACAATGTGAAGCCAGTAATGTTTGTCTGGTTTGCATTCAAGCGCGACCAAAGACACGTCCACGCATCACATTAGCGGGTCAGGCTGCAGGGTCAGCGCGGTGGCACCCAGCAGAATGCATATTTGTTGCGGTGCATACGTTTCTGTAACAGAAAAGAATATTTCTTGTGTGGGGCTTGTTTTCAATATAGTCCTGTGTGTCTTGTTGTGCATGGCTGTTTTCTACATGCCGCCTATTTTACAAGGCAATTTGGTTTAAATGTTGGATAATCACATGCCAGGGTCGCGGTGCGGTTGCCTCTACAGCATTGCTCTAAAGAAAAAAATGCCAGAGATTATAAATAGAAAGAAAACACTGATTTCCTGTAAATTAGGTTAAAATGACCCACAGAACTTCTTCTTTGTTCACACACACAGGGATGAGCAACCAGAAGATGATTTTGAGACGATAACCTTCAAGGTTTCAAATAGTGTGACAACCCCCAAGTTTTCTAAATGAGGAGAATAGAGCAGCCGCCGCGCTGTTTGTTCAGGTTGCCTGGCAGTTTCAAGCCACAAGTGGAAGCACCTCATGGCCGAGGGAAAAGGTGGTGAAGTCTTCTAAGCCACCTCATTGAAAGTGGCATTTTATCAAGTTCTATTTAGTAGGTTATTTAATGCATCTTTGTTTCATATCTGTCTTTTTCATTTTTTACGCAAACGAATGACTTTTTTTTTAACCTCCATACGGTGTGCTCGACCAGGATTCACAGCTACAGCAACTGAATCTTTAATTATCTTAACACAAACAACCATCTTTTCTAAACCCAAAGAGGTTTCCTGGGAAGACCAAAGTTTATTTCTAAGAACTGGGGGAGTAGCCTAACTTATGTCAGATATTGTAACTGTAGTTGCACAAAGATACTTTGCTCTGCTTCACACACGGTCTCCAAGAGCTTCTCAGTATGAACCACATGTGTTCCAGTTGGACCAAAGAGAGGCTTTCCTGCTCCTGTAGAGACACTGGAGCTAGTGACAAATCTGAAATATTGCAGTGGTGTTAGTAAGAGAACCAATGCGTTGACATTCACTTTTATTGATGTGCAGATTATATTACTAGCAAAAGGCAGTTTTTTTAAAAAAAGGTGCCTTTTGAGTTGCAAGAAGGAAGGAGCCACTTCCACTTTCTGCAAAACAATGACACGGTTAAATCTGTTTCCTTGAAGGAGAAGCGCAGGAATCGCTTGACTTGGCATGTTAGGGAGCTGTGAATAATTATTATTTTAATTTCCTGTTTCGGTCCATGTGTTGCCTTTAGTTGCAGCTGACATAGCTGTGGTTTAACCCCAGAGGAGGCAAACAATTGGTGATGCCATAGTGCGACACATAAGCCAATAAGTCACAAAAACATTTTTTTTTTCACTTCAAAGTTTTGCATGCGAGCAAAACCACACCGACTTGTTTCCCTTCGGCGAAGTGAAGAAACCTCGGAGCCATTCACTATTTGTTCTTACGAAAGATTTCCCATAGTTCTGCCCCGTTGATCTTCCTGTATCGGCTTTCCAAGAAGATCAGGTGACAACAGAAAAAGGTGTCGGATTGGAATTGTCACCGCAGGTGATGATTACGCACGGTGACGTGTGCAAGCATGCGCACACTCAGTCACACACATGCACGCTTCATCAAGTGTATACAATACAATAGAGACTGTTGATACTGTTGAGTTTAGGCTCTTAAAAACAACTAAAAACCTGTTTTTTCAGTCCGCTCTGCCAGAATCCGTCACCTTTGTCTCAAAGCGTTGGCCCGGCAGGTGATGAAGAAGGTGTGCTCGGTGTGAGGACTCCAACTCCCACATCACAATTCTCTTCTGAATAACATACAAATCTGGATAAACCAGAAGATAATCCATGCACCATTCAAATCTTAAGGATATCGAGGTTTACTGTTTTGGTCGTAGGTCTCTGTCGGGGCATCACGCACACTTAACAGGTGTGGCCTAAACATCTTGAAAATGGGTATTTGCCACTGTTCTTTGAAGACTTTGTGGGAAAGTTTCTCCGCGTGTAAACGTTTTCAATTAGTTGGTAGATAAGTCGGCTTCTGTAAGTGTGAACATTATTTCCGAGTGCAATAAAGGCTGTAAACCCTGCGCCCTCCGCAGCTCCTGACTAATCAATCCCTTCGTTAAGCCTGCTGGAATGGTTTTGATTCAGGGAGGCCATTATTACAGAGTAGGGGAAGATGATGCTTTAGTTAAGTAGCTGCCTCTTTGTGGCCTACTGGTTGAGGTCAAATAGATTCCATAGGATGATATGTTGCTGGGTGCGGGTGTGTGTGTGTGTGTGTGTGTGTGTCGTCCCAGTTCTGCGAGTGGCCACACGAGACTTAGTGGTAGAATGCTCCTTTAACCAAAGACGGATGATTAGAGACAAGCTCCCGCTGCCCCGGTACCTCGCGCTGCCGAGTGTCATCATGCAAACACACACATGGAACAGGCATACGCACATGCTGACACAAGCAGTGGCGGACGGGAAAGAAATCTGTTTTTTATAACAACATCACGTGCAGTAAACCGTACATGCAGCCACACTCAGTCTCTGGGCTGCGCGGGACACGCAGGGTTGAAAAAGGTTTATTTCTAACAGCAGCGCTCTTGCAGACCTCCAGTTGGAAAGGAAACAAATGTAAGAGAGTTATTTACAGAGTGAATTACGTGGTCGCTGTGGCCAGAGGAGGTCAGTCCATGCCCTGACCCATACGTGTAAGTAAGCGTGTAGGGTGCATGGATCCTATTTTTACCATGTCACCACCGCTCTTAAAAATGTTCAGCATACTGGGAGCAAGAACGCTTCCCCACACAGCTGCATCAGCGTGCCGTGGACTTTCAGAACGCACCAAACGACAATTTGTCCAAGATCCCATACAGTCACTGGTACACATACTGAGTGCGCTGCCAAGACCTACGCTTCTAAAGCACTAAGTCCCGAGCAGTAATGGAGCAGGCCTGCTGGGGCAAGTTTTGTCCGCATAACAAATGGTAAATTGGATCGGATTGACTTGTTTTGGAGCCAGCCTTAAGTGGCCACTCAAGGAACTGCCGTTTTGGGGTTCAATCCGCAGCACTGGAGGTTAGGAGCATCAATCTATCCAAAACAGTAATGTTGCGACTTGCAAAATGAAAACGACAACCTGAATGACGCTAAAACGGACTGCAGAGCTCAGGAGTTAATCATTCAAAGGAATTCCTCCCTGATAAGTGATTAAGTTTCTACTGTGAGTAGAAACATCTATTTAAATATAGATGGATAGATAGATATTTATAATCTCCATAATGGCCCAAGGCAGCCCAACCCAAAGTGCTGAGTGTCCATCTCAGGCAGTCACCAGCAGTGGAGTCCGTGCTATTTAAGTCTGGGGTTTGGGAGGATGCAAAGGACAGAGGGCACGGTTTTCTGGTCAGTAGCTGTGTCCAAGGGAATTCTTTCGGGCTTTAGTTATGTGTTCTTCTCTGAGGCTTGTGCCTTTTGTTATACTAGCTAGACCCATGCCTATCAGACTTCTGCAAATACAGTATATACATTTTTCAAAAGTCCAAGACCAGCGATATTGTGGGATGAATGATGGGATGAGCAAGAAGTCACAGACAGGGTGACACTTAGCTACATCTTATTATTTTTTTATCCGTCAGCTTTGAAGACCGCTCAAGGAAATATCAGTCAGTCATCTTCAATCCCACTTCCCACTTATCCTTTGTACAGGACTCAATCCTAGCCAACATATATTTATGATAATATTGTATAGTCATTTAATGTCTACACATACTTCCATTCTATTTTTTAATGTGGTCTTTATTTTTCTTATTTATTTGTATGTATGCTGAGAACAAAGTGAAAACGGGAGTCAAATTCCACGTTTGAGTAAACAGAAATGACCAATAAGGCTAATTCTGTTTTGATGAAACTCTTTGCAGGAGACGTTCACAATGTAAAATACAACAATGAATTGTTTGTGTGTTTAAACACTTTACCAGATTGAGCGTTCCCATCTTCGTGGGTGCTCTCCATGCAGTCTGCCATGTTGAACCGATAACTGGGCCGACCAAGCCCTGGATCGGGAGAAGGCCTTTCACCTGACGTTGAGCTGGCAGCTAGAATTCCCCTGAGGGCCACAGTAAGTTTTTCTGTACGCTTGCTCTGCAAGTCCTTATCCTAAATGATTATATTGTGTTGCATTTCGTGCTGTCAGTAAACATTATGCGATCACATATTTATTGTCCTTGTGGTAGATTTACCATCCAAGTGATGTCAGCTCTATCGCCTGCATGTGCATCTGATGCATTTTCCCTGGAAAAGCAGCTGCATGCCTTCTCCTTTTATAGCAACTGTCATGCTCTGCATTTCTTAGCAAGTGATTTAAAAAACATTTTTTAGACCATTATTAATGTTAGGTCAAGAGTTTTCATTGATCACAGAGGGCGGTCCTGCTGGCCTCGCGTTGCTCCGCGGTGGGAAAAGTGGATGGATTAAGCATGAACGATAGACGTCAGCAGAGA